TATGATCAAGTATCAACAAAGGTTTTCGTTCAAAACTTGCTTCTTTTTCATCAAAGTATTTGTAAAAATACTATGATTTATCTGTTAGGTACATATGTTCATGTTGCGATCGTAGTAAAATATTGATTTGGGTAGCAACGGTTTAGTAATAATTTGAGAATAAAAAGCATACAAAAAAGGTTGTAGTTGAATATTTTGCATAATACTCGTATTTTTTTCGGTGGACTGATCTGGAATTTGAATTTTTATTTAAATTTTATTGTAGGTATAAAATAGATTTAAAAAAATAAACATCCTATGATGCTAGTGGCCAAATGAATTTTTAATATTTTGCCAGGTCAACATTTTAAACGCCATTGATCCAATATTATTATCAACTTAAAAACTACTACCACTGAGCTATGTTCTAATAATTATGTCAAATTATGCATAGTTCCATATTAGTTCCACTTTTGACATGAAATGAGGTCACTAACCTGTCATTAATCTTATATTTGTCGTGTTGACTATAGTTTCAAGGTTGAAGCCATATTTTCAAATCTTTCTCTTCACTCGGTAAATTGTCAAACATGTCTTTCTCGACAATTTGACTACTGAAGAGAAAGATTTTAAAATGGGGCTTTAAACCAGAAACTGTAGTCAACACGACAAATATAGGATTTATTGATGACAGGTTATTGGCCTCATTTTATGTCAATTAGTCAATCCTGGCGGCAAATTATGTATAAAATAATTCACTTTTGTTTTACCAAAATATTAATGTATATAACAAAACACATTCACATTTTTTTATTGTAGCTGAACAGAACACTGGATAGTTTCAATTCTGATTGATTTCACAGTTTGTTAGGGAAACAAATTAAATTACTCACTGAAATGGAGCGGCATTTAGTGAACGTAACGTAGCGTTAAATTAAGTTAGTTCGAGTGATTGAAGGGAATTTTAATCGAAAGTCGCTCGTTTGATGTTTTGCTTGTAAACTGTTGTTTGTTGCGATTGTTTGCAAACTAAACTCAGAGTTCCAAATTGTTGATGATGTTTTTGTTTTTATGATGACACACTTCAAATTTTTATTTAGGCCAACTCAGAGGACTTTGGTCCATTGATTAACGTTTCAAACAGCTATGAAATAAAAAATAAAAAAATGTATTGTGTTTTTTGCATTGCTGTAAATAAAATACATCCTCTAGAAGGATGTTTTTGTTGTAAAAATGTTGTCCAAGTTTTAAATTTGCATACTAATTACGCTGTTTCAATTGTTCTTAGATATAACCACTTAAATGCAACAAAGAGATCACAAAAGTTATTCCAGATTTTAAGAAACCCCCTTTATTTTTTTTATATTATTAGTATTCGGCATCGATTGTTAAATGCATAACTATTGTATGGGTTTTGTGGGAAGTGTTTTATGAAACAGAGACAGTTTTTCAATGACTAATAAATTATTTCTGTATGCAAACTTAGACTAATATACTAAAATGTACTTAAATCTCAAAATTATCTCACAGCAAATCAATATTGAAAATAATTAAAAACAGAAACATCACCCATCCGGCAAATTTACTCTATAAATCTATATTTGTATGGTGAAAATTATAAACCCAATTTTAAAGGATACACAGAAAATAACTGTTAGTACAAACAATGATGAATTATCAACAATTACAAGTTAAACATTTGTTCACTGTTTGTATTTTTACAGAAATTGATTTTGATTTTAATCAAATAGAAACTGCAATATGTCCTTGCTGTTTGTAAAGCTGTATTTAACCGCATATCCTGTAAAGGTTCATTATTACAAATCTTTAAAAACAAGTATAATCTTAGTTTGATATAAAATAGTAATCAGGATTTCCATATAATATAAGCAATGATCAAAATATAAAAATCTTTTGTTTTAACGTAATAGAATCACTACTTATATACAGTCATGAAAAAAACATATTTATAAAACGTCACAGAATGAAATGTAACTGCAAACTTAATACCAACACTAAACAAACGTATCAAAGAGAAGTAGGTCTATAATCCACAAACCACTCTTACCAACTGATGTTTCTACAGGGTTGCAAACCTTTCAAACAAAACAAACACTTAACCACAGCATCCACTGTTCAATTGTTGAACCAACTCTCAGACCGTAATGCGATCCCCGACCTAACAATACGTTCAACAACAATAAAAGTAGTGTTTGATTGGTTCATAAAAGTGTTTGTGAACCCATTGTTTAGTTTACTGTATCTAACGGGTTAGTATCCATCCATAATAGTTATCAATCAATCATTAGGATGGGGACGCCACCTATGTGCGTATAGCCCAAATATGAGTGGGATGAGTGTAGAATGGTGTGAGATGATATCTTTAGCTTAGTTATTGACTAAGATCAGCTGTTTCATTAGCCACGATAATTTTTTAAGTCCAATGATACAGCTGGGTCCAGTTTTGTATGGTCAAAAAGCTTATGACTGATTCTCAGGATTGAACCGGTGTCCTTTTCAATGAGTAATACCACAACATCATGACAGTGGAATATATTAATACAAAATACAGTCATTCTACACTAGTGTTTGTGATAATCAATTCGTAGCAATCATGTAGGGTCTATTGGGAATAAGCTGGTGTAGTGGTAAAGTGCGTGACATCATTCCCTGAAGTCCCGGATCCAAGTCCCATCAATCACCAATGGATTTAATAAAGTGATATTGCAGATACCCACTCTAGACCTACCCTGAATTAATGTGGAAAACAATTCCGGGCAAGGACCTAGACGAGTAAAAAGATCTATATGTTCTTTCAGACGTTGCTGTAATTCAACTACTAGGTCACGAATTGTGGATATTTATTTGCATACTGTGGATGCAATACTCCCTTGTGTGGATTAACGTCCGCAATAGTAAATACTACGACTATCCGCAGTACTATCCTGATAGTCAGACCAATTCGTTATTTACGAGGCAAAAATGTGGTTATGATTCCACTATTAGCTGTATGGGCTATTAATTAACATCTGTGTATGAGGAAAAAGTCGGCCTAGTCACTAACAAGACTACAAGATCGCGTCACTCATCCTACACTCATCTCCATTCATACTTGGCTTAAAATACCTTAATTTTTGTATAGTGACCAATTCAGATTAAAGTATTTAAGTATCAATAACAAGATTATATGGATTAATAGGCAATACACAGCATTTTTTATCACTCAAAAAATTCCAAATGTCCCAAAAGGCTTTGTATAATATTTAATAATTGGTTATACTATTTCCAAAAAAAAGACGCAATACAAATAACCTTTAAACGATTGCAAATATTTACCGTCCCTTTTACTGGCTACTCCCATATGTTTACAAAGGCAAAGAGAACCAAACCACTTGTGTGATGCCACAAAAGGAATAGAGAGCAAACATTCAAACACAAACTTATGCCGCTTAAACCTTTGTGATGTTTCTCGCAGTTTGATTTGGTAAATCTCTGTCTCAATAGTCATTTGGTGTGATTTGAAAAAAAAAACTTTTTACTTTAATAAATGAAAATTTTTGTAAAAGCGATTAAAGATTTTAAATAGTCACTGATATTCGCTTTCTGTATTTAAAATTTGTTTTAGAACGTACCTATACAATAAAATTAATGAACACCTAGTTGGCTACGTGTTTTTTTATTAGTTAAACACGGAATCTGTATAATACATATTCTATTTTAAAGGAGAGAAATTAAAACAAGAATTGACGTGCAATACATTAGAATACAATACAATATTCTGTATTGTGCACTCATGAAGAATAATAGTGTCATAAGTATATTAAAGTACATGTTTATTTCCAAAATATTCATAAAACTCATGATTGAGTAGAAGGGTTTTGCGATCAGCCACTTCTTTAACACGTTCGCGGCGGCACGTCAAATGGCGGGCGTACCCCAGGTCCGGCGCAGCCCTCAGCATCGAACAAACCCGATTGCCGCGTGTGATTGGCTTTCCAATTTCGGGCTGACAAATAGCAAATAACGTGCGAGGATGTCCTGCTTTACAACGAGAGTCGACGTAGTTCGCTAAACACCAACAGATAGCAGCACTGCTTGTAACGTAGCCGGTCCCATTGGAATTTTATTGCCAAATGGAGGGAAAAAGACGGGACAAAAGTAGGATTTTGAGATTGCCAGACGGGGATTTACGGGAACATTTACTACCAACCAACACCACAACAAAATACAGTATACTATTGAGCAGTGCTGTGCGAGGTTTCAAGTTTCTAGCTCTAATCCTGGCTTAAAAATAAATCATTTCGTACTGCATTGCAGCTTGGGAGCGATCGCACCCACCAGGATAGCATTAGGGTTCCGTATGGGAGCGACCGCTCCCATGCCGCCGCGAACGTGTTAACTCCTGGTGTAGCTTGTTGCCAGTCAGGTCTCTCAGGTAGATGGTTCCTCAGTTTGCAAACGAGGAACTTATACTTCCAAAAAGACATTTGCTCAAATTCTCAGACCACATTTGAACCCATCAACTGATGTTCAATCCAAGGGGGGGGGGGGGTGTTGAATGAGGGGATGCTCATTCAGGTATATGTAATGAGTTCTATGTTTAGAAAGGGTTTTTTCTCCCAGTGAGTGGTTTGGTTAACTGGTAGGACAAATTTTGAGCCATGGCGAGTGTTGTAGTGGTGCAGCGAGGCAGGTCTTGGTTTCTTAGGGGATTTATTTCATCCACAGACTTTATAGTTTCAAGTATGTAGAGAGACACCACTGTGAGGATTCCTAGGTTTGCAAAAGCTGGTCTGAGCAAGTCTGTAATGGGACAAGGTTGGTGAGGGCTCTTATAGCCCTTCTAAAGAACATGGATTCGATTCATATTTTTGCTGAAGTTCCTCCCCACACTGTCAAGCCATATGTAAAGATTGAAGAAAAATGTATAGCAATAATACGGTTAACACTAGTTTTGTATATTCAGTACTTTTAACTTTTGTTACTCGTCTTATCTAACAATACCTTTTTTTCTGTTTCAGAGATTTAAGGTTCAACAAGATCAAGGAAATAGCTCCAAACACCTTCAAACACCTAAAAAGTCTTAACACTCTGTAAGTATTATGTTTTCCACCTGATTCCAAATCATTTACTTAATGGATTATCATTTCAATTACATTATTAAACTTTCTAACCGTTGGTAGTCCTATACTATACAATATTCAATATTAGCTTGATATTCAGTCACTGCAAAAACCTTTTCCTTGACAAATATAATTCACTAAGTCTATATAGTTCTGTAAACATTTTCTAATATTTGAAACAATTCATGTACAGTGTATTTTACATTTTTGAGAGGTTCAGGGCTAAATTTGCTCTTAAACACAAATGAATGGTTTCAGACTTTAACGTCTCTTCTTTAGTTAAAAATAATTATCAAAAACTTATTGCCATAACATTTAAAATGTAAAGTATCTATGTGGTAATGTTAACTCCTTTTGAAACGTTTGACGATTTTATCAAGATGTCCAATTCATTTATATACAAATTAACAGGATTCGTTAGCAATTTTTACTAATTCATTTTGATTATTAAATGTATTAAAATAGGAAAACAATCTTTTACCCAACATAAATTAATGTTATGAATAATGTTTGTCTTGTCTATTAAATATGTTGTTTTTTTTCATTTAGTTTTCAGCAGGCCTGACTAACTGCTTCCTACACTGTTCAAAATTAAACTATATTTTTCCTCTGTTACAGTTTATTGAACAATAACCAGATATCGAGGTTACAAAATGGAGTATTCAATGGCCTTTCAGAACTTCGATACTTGTAAGTATTTTTGAAATTTGTGGTTTTCACTAGCCCAACATTATAGGCTAGGAACTGAAATCTTAAGAATGGGTAATTATTTTTTTGTGGTAGTTCTTATACATATTCTAATAGTTATTACAGTCTTGGAAATATTTTTGTACCCATTGAAATACAACTTTGACATGCACAAAATTTTTTACGTGAAAAATTAATGAATGACAAAATATCATAATATTATCAAATACCTACCTTGGTATGATTTTCTTCTTAATCTTCTACCAAAAATATTTAGATTGATTTCACCATTGAATCTTAACATTTAAAAAATTTACAAATGTATTAAATGTGTATTAAAATCGTTCCAGAGTTTACAATCAACTGATTATTTATTTTCAGATATTTATACAAGAACAAAATACGAGAGGTGGAGAGCAAAGTTTTCCAAGGGTTGTCAAAGCTGGAGCAATTGTAAGTATCTCATTCATGGGTTTAGTGCCTCTGGGGTTTTGTACTGAAAATATATGGAAGTTTTAAAATTACAATCCAATAAAAAATTACTGTTTTTGAACTTCCATTTATTTAATTATTTTTATATCTCTTGATCACCAAGATATCAAAAGCGCTACACGCAATATTTTTACAAGTCGTATACTCATAAAGGAATAGTTAATTGTGCCTTAAATTTATTATTATTGATCTCTCTATATTCATTTTTATTTCACTTAGGCTTTTTAGTTTTAATTAATATAATTTGGTAAATACTGTATGAATATTTAATGTGAATTTCCTTATTATGCGCTGTTTTGACAAAATAATATCAATAAAGCAACCATACTATCCCTTGGGCTACAGCAGTATGGTAAAAACTATTCCTAATTAATTGTTGTTTAGCCATTATTTTTGTTCGTAAACAGCCACAAAACGCAATAAGTGTTTACTTTGGATAAATATGTTGTTACCAGATTAAATAAACTAATTACAAGCAATTTTCCAATACTCTTGCAAATATATCAATAAGTAGTACAAACTGTATAAATATTGAACTCCTAATTAATTTCAATCATCATGATTTCCCTCAAGTAAGTTTTCATCATCATATGTATAACATTTTATATCAAAGCGATATACACAAAACAATATTTTACAGTAAATTAGAACAAATTTAATACAAAAATCAAAAACTAGAAGTGATCTTATGATACTGCATTGTGTACAACTTTTACTATAACAACACCTGCGGTCCCTAAGGTTCGGGTTCAAATCCTGCCATTCACCGATGGATTTTATCCAAGCGATAATACCACTTGTGTGGGCCTAGCCTAAAGTTATGTGAAAAACAATCCTGAGCTAGAACTTACAAAACAACTTATAAACAATTTACACACACAATTACAAAAAATCATTACAACACTTCATCTTTTTCAGGTACCTCCACTTCAACAAGATTGAAAAGCTTCATCCAAACACTTTTACCGACTTAACGAAGCTGGAAAGATTGTAAGTATGCAAACGCAAACTCAAATCACCAATAACACACTAGTTTAAGTTCATAAACCACAAAGCACATCTCACATCTTCTTTCTTCTGTTTGCTTTTGTTTTAGATTTTTGCACAACAACAAATTGAGGCACTTATCGTCAGGCACTTTCAAGGGGCTAGACTCACTAAAGCGAATGTAAGTAGCTTTTGCATTGTATTTGTTTCATTAATCACTAACTCCATTGTTTATGCAATAACTTTGTTTCAATCATATCATATTGTTACTGGGTGGCATTGTACATTGCAAAAACCCATGGTCATCATAGCTCATATTACTTCATTAGTGTAGTAACAAACTTGTAAATACATTTAATACAACAAGTTAACTTGTTCTTTTTTTAACGTGGGGTAAGTATGGAAGTTTTGTAGCTTGATTTCTAATCGTGAATGTAACAGGCCACACTGATACTTAACTATGTGATCAAGATCAATATATAAACTCTATTGTGCTTCAAGTCATTGCCTAGAAACATTTTAGTTGAATCAGGCAAGTAGAACTTTGTTTGTTTTTGAAAAGTACCTTTACTTCAAATAATTAAGATAATTTTGATTATCTTGTAAATTTGTTAACTGCTGTTGTTTAACTGCATATCACAATAATTAACTAGATTAACCAGCTACTTTCACTTGAGAATCAACACCATTCATTCAAATTGTGCTTTTAACAACTATTTGATGGAGTTCACTCCTTTAAAAACATACATTTTTGGGAATACGGGGCAATTTTTTTGCAGACTTTGGCATCTAATATGCAACTGGTAATGCAAATTGCATAATTGCATTAACTGCACAATAATGTACCTGTGTTCGACGAGTACTAGACTTCGGACAAGGCAGCAATGTCAATGGATCATGATACTTGCCACTATTTTCTATCAGTAAAGTTCACACTTGTCCTGTACCGGCTCACCCCTTGTTTTGCAAATTACTGTCCACGTCATCCGACGTTCGTCCACATCTTTCGAGACAACGCCAATACAAGGTAAAAAGACACCTACAACTTCTCTGTCTCTAACATTCTCTCTATTTCCTATGCTCTGCGACAGACGACTGGACAGCAATGCTCTAGTGTGTGACTGTGACATGATGTGGCTCGCTCATCTCCTGAGAGACAAGCAGGATAGCACTCAAGCTGCAGCGACTTGTCAGTTTCCAACCAACATGGAGGGCAAACCAATCGCGAATGTTTCTGACAACGATTTCCACTGCTGTAAGTATCATACGAGGGTTGTTTTTTTTTTCAACCTCCGATATGCTATGAACAAAAGACAAGTTCATATAAAACATTAAATTTATTACCAAAAGTTTGGTCCATTTATGGTTACTTTTTGACGTAATCACCAAAGAGATTGAGACATTTGCTATATCTGTGCACCAGCTTTTTAATACCCTCTTCAAGAAAAGTGGCCGCCAGTACATTCAAAAAACAAAAAAAATCAAAAAACAAAAATGTCAAAAAAACTAAAAAATCAAGAAAAAATAAAAAAGGACTTTAAAATTTCTAGAAATTCAGTAAATAAATCAATAATGGTGAATCTGTGGTTTATTTAACCATTCTGCCAACTTGTTGAACCAGCTCATTACTGTCGTTTCAGATGACTTGGTTCAACAGTTTGACAGGATGGTTAAATAAACCACAGATTCACCATTATTGCTTTGTTTACTGAATTTCTCGAAATTTTAAAGTCCTTTTTTTATTTTTTCTAGATTTTTTAACTTTTTGACATTTTTTGTTTTTTGAATTTTTTTTTGTTTTTTGAATGTACTGGCAGCCACTTTTCTTGAAGAGGGTATTAAAAAGCTGGTGCACAGATATAGCAAATGTCTCAATCTCTTTGGTGATTATGTCAAAAAGTAACCATAAATGGACCAAACTTTTGGTAATAAATTTAATGTTTTATATGAACTTGTCTTTTGTTCATAGCCTATCGGAGGTTGAAAAAAAACAACCCTCGTATATTAATTCTATAAGGACAATTGTCTGGTAAATTATATGAACATGTCCATTAAGAAGAAGGTCTGAGAAAATAGTTATTACAAAAATATTTAATCAAAAATAGTTTAGCAAACATTTGTGTACTAAGTATAAGTCACATATCTAGAACATGTCACCACATGAGTTTTCAGGAGTTCACGACACAGTAAGGGTCCTCTCTATAAGATGATATTCTCCTTGTATATTGAGTTTGAATCATTTTCGACAGCAGCAATTTTGTATGTTCTCAAGAAAATTTCAATTGTCAATGACTATAAACTTTTTTATATGTCTTAGCTGGAATATCAATTCAATTGACTATTATATATTGACTATATACTCCAGCTATGACCTATAAAAAAGTTTAAATTGACTACACAGTAACTCCGTTATCAAACCAATGATTATTCAGTCAGCAAATTTGCTGTAAAATGTCAAATATTCAAACCTTGTGGGAGTTTGAATATTTTGTAGAAGCTTATTAAGTTTTAATACTGTACTACAATTTCAATACAATAAATTACATAAGATTTCACTTTAAATTTTATAATTCCTTGTGATTGGCTGTTTGAATTTCAGTATGAAGTTCATTTAAATTACAAAATAAATATATTTTCAACAAACAAGCTATTGAATCAATAATACTTTTTCAGCCAAACCACGTTTTACACAGGAGCCCACAGATGTAGAGGTCAATTTTGGAGGGATTGTACACTTCACGTGTAAAGCAGAAGGTGACCCACAGCCCAAAATTGTTTGGATGAGGGACAGGTAAAGAATTTTCATTTTGATTGTTAATAAGTCTTTGGTTAGAAATTTTAAGCTGCAATCAATTCGTGACTCTTGTCTATTTAAAAACAACAATTTATATGTAATAAGTTCTCACTTAGCACATAGAAATGGGTAACATAGTAAGTTTCATTATAGTTGAGTTTCTTGAAAATTTGAAAGGAGGGATGTTTGACTGCGTATTAAACTCATCTGTTAATACTAATGAGTTATTCCCTCACAATTAACCGGCCACACGTGCCATGGACTCATAGTCCACACATTTGATAAAGCATGCCGAAATAAGTGAATCCGCAAGCGAATGATATACGCCCCATCTACCTTTCTTCCACAACCTTTCTAAGGAAAATAGCAGTGTTATGACCCCCTTAGCGTCAGTTGGCTCTGAGCTTGGTGTGAACTTTATTAGGTACGGTATATAAAAGAGCGAAGAATTATACGCTGACTGCCAGTCCTGTGTATTTATGTAACTATTAGCCGTGCGTATACTGGAGGGTTAAAATGGATTGGACCTGAATCTTCACCCTTATTAAATTAAATCTATTTTCAATCTCACTTATTTTTATACTTGCAAAGGTTATGGTTGTGTACAATTTATTCTTAGACTAAAGAAAATGGCACAAAACGGTAACTCCAAACTTAAATGTAAGTTTCATAACTAATTTATTACTCTGCGACAGTAATGAGATCAACATGGAGGATCCTCGTTACTCCGTGGCAGAGGACGGAACACTCAAGATCGCACCAATGTCAGACGCAGACCTCGGTGTGTATGAGTGTATGGCTAAGTCTCCTACGGGGGAAGTCAAGTCTCGCAGCGCCAAGATGATCTACAACAAGCGCAATTGTGAGTCTAACAATCAGCTGATCATTAATGAAAATTGTATTGGGTACAGAAATAAATTTATATGAAAATGGCTGTTTAAGGGGATAGACTATTTATCTTCTAGGGAGCCACAGTTCGGTAAATCAGTAAGTTGCCTATACACAATTCATTAATGAGATCGGTGTACAAAACACTATCTAGCTGGAGAGCTGAGATGGTTATAATGTTCGGTAATCAAAAGGTCGTTGGTTTGATCCTGACAAAAGTCAGTATATTTCTTTTTAATAGTAGAAATCAGCTGTTCTTGAACATAAAGATTTAGTGAATGGCCCTGGGTAAAAAAAACAGCTGATCATTGTCAGTAACTATGTTTTCACCTAACTCAACATTCATTTTTCACTCTCCTTTCCTTTAAAATAAGAATTGTGGGTTGGGGTTGTGATAGATCCAAGCTAGTCTAAAACACACCAAAATTTTCCCTTTATTGCCAAACTGACAACATATTGTTAACTATAGCATTGTTTCACACCAACCATTACAAAAAAATACCTAAATGATAAATTTAGAAATTTATAAATTTTAGTACCTAAATGAGACATAAATGCATTGCCCCAGATAAATGACAGGCTTTATTGATTTATATATTATGAAATATTGTTTTGTTAAGATTTATCTCAAAACACGATTGTTGACAAATTGACATGAATAATCTATCTTGCAGCCAAACCTTATTTCCTACATACACCGCAAGACGTCAACGCAGACATTGGAGACTCAGTGAGGTTAGACTGCTCTGCGGCTGGACTTCCCTCTCCTGATCTTCTCTGGACCAAGGACGACTTACCTGTGCAAAACGGAGGCAAATTTCAGGTTTTAAATTGTTTGGTTCCACATTGAACTATATTTAGAAGTGATATTGAAAAATCATAACCGTTTTCGATTAGGACTAAATTTTTTTAAACCCACATTGAACTAATATGCTTACATACGGTGTAAGTCAAATAATTACCCTTTTAAGTCTAACGTCTAAGAGTTTTTCACAAACATCTTATTTCAGATTGTAAAATAAATTACTGTAAGTATTTTTTCCATATACATTTATTGGTTAAAATTGTTTACTAAAAGGTTATGACTTTTGGTACACTGAAAACCAGTATTTATTGACAAAAATGGCAAAAGCTGCAAACAGGATGGTTTATAACTAAACAAAAGCTTTTAGGTCTAGCTTAAGGCAATATTTAATGCACAAATTTTAATTTTTCCTTAAATTATTCTCAGTCTAAATCAAAATTAATATAAAACAATGTAATATAATTCAAACAAACACACTGGTATATTTGTTGGCGTCTTTTTCACAAACACAAGCGAGGTAATATTTAGACATTTGTTATAATTCTACTAGTGGCTAAAGTCTATTCACTCTGATTTAGTTATGGTTTTCCTATGTTCTCGGATTCTAAGTAAATTGTCCTTTCAGATCAGTGAAGCTGGAACCCTCACGATCTCAAGAGTCGCAAGAGAAGACGCTGGAGCCTATAAATGTAGTGCTGCCAACTTTCTGGGGAGAGTTTCCTCTGTAGCTCAACTGAGAGTCAATGGTAAATAATAATTTTTTATTTCAAACCTGTGCTTGCCATCATTTGAGGTTCCTGACTTAAAACCTGCCCAATGTTAAAACACTGCTATGCTGACTTAAAACATTATGATTGTTCTGATAAAAGCTTGTAGTGCGCTCTGTTAGCTGTTGACTGTCAAGTTACCGGGTGTCGAGTCAGTGCGAGGTTTTACTGTAAAACAATTCCTAAACATTTAATTATTTGAATTCCTTTGACAGTTTTAGGCCTACATTTATTACTGCATTTAGATCACACTTTTACAGAAATCGTCTTGTATTGGGAATTTGTTTGATTTCTAATCATAAGACATCTGGAGGAAGTCAAATTCTTTGCTTCTAGACGATTAAGATTTAAAATATAGTCGTTTTATGTAATCTTTAAATTTCAAATGTAGTACAGTATATTTATTATTTATTGGTACTTTTGTCCCCATGCTTCAAGGAACGGATCACAAGTTCTATCCGAAAGGTAAGTGTTCTGCTGTATTTTTAAAAATGTTTAGACTAACAGGTTACCTACATTTTTCCAGTGCTACCAGTACTTAGGATTTGGCATGTTTACTGTGCTGTATTTTAGAAGTTGATAAATGTTTACAATGTTACTAAACTGTCATGTTGCCATGTCCACAGTTCAGCCCCACTTTGTCACCATGCCAGAGAACCAGACAGTGCGGAGTGGCTCAAAGGCTCAGTTGAGATGTGAAGCTGACGGATCACCTGAGCCTGTCATTACATGGTTCAAAGACGGCCGCAGCGTCGTTCCTCAGGGACGTGTCAGCATAACATCTGAAGGTGATTTTGGAGATGATTGAATTATATTATAGAGTCTAAAAGTAATTTTTGAAACTGAAAACTATATTGTTTGGACATTAGTGTCTAGTAAATAGGTACAGACTACTATGTGTTCCTATGAACTATAGACATCCAACTGATGTGGAACTGTTGCAGCCATTTTGTGAATGAGGTAAGACTGCAAGTGTGCATAGTTTGTCAGGTGTAAAGTTCTCACAAAAAGTATGGTCTTCTTCAGACATTGTTGCATATCAATAATCGATGTTAATGACAATGTCCCATGCTGCTGAGTATCAGTATAAGGAATTGTTAGGTACAGTACCGATAAAGCTATAGTAATTAAAGAGTCAAAAAAGTTCTTGATGATAAAAATAGGTAATAGTTTTTATCATCAATAACATTGGATATATGTACAGAGCAGAAAAAAACTTGTAGTCTTATACGGTAATTATTTTCAACTCATCCCAAACCTTTGTCTATTTTTCATTGCTGAGACTATATTATATCTGATAGTTGTGGGTACAGCCTGTTCACTTCCCTAATAGAATTCCCTATCCTCTTAAATATTCTAAACGTATTGACAATAATGCTAAAATTCCAGGAATCTATAAATCATTTCCTGCATAATATATATCCTTTTCTTTCTCTTCCATTATTCACTGTTGCAAAAACATTCCAGGAACCCTACTGACTGTGGAGCACGCCAAAGAGTCAGACTCGGGTTTGTACACCTGTTTGGCCCAGAACCAGGTAGGGTCGGCGGAGGCTAGCGGAGAACTGAGAGTACGAGGCTACGGCCCTCGACCCCCACGACTAGTGCTCACCCCCTACCCTGTCAACGCCCCAGTGGCTTCTAGTGTGGAGCTGCCGTGTAAGGCAGAGGGAGAACCTCTGCCCACAGTGGCTTGGACCAAGGACAGAGTCACACTTAGGGAAGATAGAAATCACAGGTAAAAAAAATTGTTTTGGCAACATATTTAAAATTTTTGATCCTCTTGGTAAGAAGTTTGTGATTGGTATTTGCCGTTAGCACCCGCTTACTTACCACCCTGATAAGTTAATATGTTAAGTGATACACATAATCTCACTTATGTAGCTTATCACAAGAAAAGCTACCTAACAAAAAACCTTTTTATACAGAAGAACTACAATTATCCAGACTCTAAACATTTGAATCACCAAAGATAATTTTTTAAGAACCCAAAACTATAGTAATAACAATCTTTATCAAAGAAGCTACAATTTCAGCAAAACTCCTGGACATCTTTTGTGGTCTTTTAGACATCAACATCGTCTCTTGGTCACAAGGAAATATCATCCTCCACAATCAATGTTAAAGCTTTATTTTTTTTAACACCAAAATCTTTGCATACACGTTCTGCAATCAGGATATTAAAAGTTTGGTTCAACTGCCTATTTTCTATAAAATACCCCCAATTTCACTAAAAATTCAACCATCCAAATTTCTTACTTTAAGAATGTGGTACAGTCCCAATCAATTTCGATAATTTTTGGAAATTAACTGCATTTAGTTTTCTGTCAAGTGAAGGGAAAGGTTACAGTCCAGGACGTTAAGGTACAGTTTTTTAACAGTCCTCTTGCTGTAGTTTCTTATTGCTGTAATTATATAGCAAGCATTATCTTGATCTCTGCAGTCGCCACGTTGCTTTTACCATGAAGATTCTTTACTATCTTCATGTCACCGCAGAGGGGCACTGACTGGGTATATTGTGGCGGGCAACTTGGGTTTTTCATGTGTATTAAATTGCAGTCCTCACCCCAGTGACAGATATATATTTCATTCATAAACTCCCTCCGTACATAATAATGTTATTAAATAACTATACATATTTTAGTTCACACAAATGTTTGACATCATCCATGTTTTACTTCTTTTAGAGTATTCCCTATTGGAAGTTTGCGCATTTACAACTTGACAGTGGAGGACTCAGGACTGTACGAGTGTATTGCTTCCAACCAGTACGGCTCAGTCAGCGCTCAAGGAACCCTTACTGTTGAAGGTATGGATTTTTATTTCTTGATTATGTTTTTTTTAAGTGTAAGAATGTCTGTTACTTACTTTTACTTGTATGACTTTTTAGCAATATTGCAACAATTAAACAATAATAATGCAGCAACAATTCAACAATATTGACAATTTGAACAATATTTTAACTGTAATCTACAACTTTATTAACAGACACGTCAATATTTTCAGATTAATCCCCCTTAAGGTCCACTAAAAAGGTACAATTACCTTGCACATATAAAAGTACCGGTAACTATAGTGAAATTTAATTTATAATACTTGGCTTTGTTAACACAAAATAGACTAATTAGTTAAACCATCAAATAGATCCCAGTGAAAATATATTACTCAAGAAGATGTCTAGAAAACTCCTTTTTCCAGGATGTCAGAAAATTTGTTCAATAAGTAAATCAATTAGTATTCTAAAACGTTTTAGTAAATTTGTCGGAAATTTAAAATATCCACCTCTTGTTTCTCCAGACCTGAGTGGAGGGGCGGCTCCTGGCGACAGATACGTTCACTTGGCGTTCCAAGAGGCGGCCGCGGCTGTGGATCGAGCCATCAACGCAACCATCGCCTCTCTGTTTGCTCACAACAACACGCAGAGAACACCATCGGTGCTCATGCAGCTGATGCGCTTCCCTGACAACCACTCCCGTAACATCATCAGAGCTGCCGAGGTGTACGAGAGGACGCTGGTCAACATCCGGCGACATATACAGTCTGGGCTCAAGGTCAACTTGACGCAAGGTGAGGTCGGTCAACAGGTCAAACTTTTGTTTGTTATCTTACTTATTTTTAAAGTTTTACATCGATAGATTTGGAACTGTACTTCAGATAGTAAAAAAAAAAGAGTGGAAAAGTTACTGTGAATAGAAGATATCATCTCTATCACTCTGACTCTCCCATAATGTAGCACTGTACTGTAGTTAGATATGAAGTAAATAGTTTTTTGTTTTGAAGTGCGTCTGGCACATGACTATCTTCCTTTAGCTTGAGCGGTATGATCTTTTCCAGACTTCTCCTACGCTGACATCTTGTCGCCACAGCAGCTGCAACTAGTAGCCAACCTCTCTGGTTGTATGGAGCACCAGGCCGCAGTTAACTGTTCCGACATGTGTTTCCACGCCAAGTACCGCACAATAGACGGAACCTGCAACAACCTGCAGCATCCGCGCTGGGGCTCGTCACTCATCGGCTTCCGTAGACTGCTGAGTCCTATTTACGAAAACGGCTTCAGCACACCTATTGGTGAGATTTAATGAGTGGATTTGCTGAATGATATTAGAAATTGCTGAGTAAAATTTATGCTCCAAGCATTAATATATTGAGTCTTGTCTAACTTAGGTACCAGTAGGCTACTGAATGAAATCTTGCAGATCTTGGTTGGTTAATAATGATAATACAGTTTCTAAGTCATACTACTGTAATGCTTTTGTGTTAAACATTGCTAAATTAGATTTAAAACGGAAACTATCAATTTGAATCTTTAACTTCTCAATCTATATATATAAAATCCAATGTATGTTTGTTTGTTTGTCCTTTATGGACTCTGTAACCGCTTGACAGCCTACGTCCGAACGAGCTTCAACCTAAAGGTGAGTGAGCGTAGCGAATAAATTTCAACCAGGACATGATTGAGCCATGCGAATGAGCTCATCTTGAAAATGAACGAGCATTTGACATAAAACCACATTAGGACAGGACGACGTCTGTCGGGCCAGTAAACTAATAAAAATGCCATTTTCCACAAATTTCTCATATTTTCTTTGTACAGTTTATTATGGCCGTGTTTTGCATTATTTGTGCTGTAGGGGATAGCATCGAATGTACATTCAAAAGTTGCAATTTGTGGTTCTCCTGAACCTTTCCAAAACGGGTATAGTGATAGAAGAATGTCGGCACAGTTGGTTTAAAATAACCAACAAAATTTCACTTTTTTTCTCAAAGACATAGCATTTCGAATGCAGTTTAGATTCTAAAACTTATCTTCTTTCTCAGGATGGAACAAAGACAAGAAGTACTTTGGTTTTCCCAAGCCAGCTGCCAGGCTTGTTTCAACATCAGTCATCAGCACAGATGACATCACCCCAGACTCTGAGATCACTCACATGGTGATGCAGTGGGGACAGTTCCTGGACCATGACCTGGACCATGCGATACCCTCCACATCCGCCGAGAGCTGGGAGGGGATAGACTGCAAGAAGAGTTGTGCCTATGCTACTCCTTGCTTCCCAATGGAGGTAAGTGTTGGTTGTAGTAGTTGAAAGGATAGTTTAAGCCAAATGGGATGGAAGGATTTGGATAAAGTACCTGGACCATGCAATACCCTCCACATCCGCCGAGAGCCAGGAGGGGATGGACTGCAAGAAGAGCTGTGGCTATGCTACTCCTTGCTTCCCAATGGAGGTAAGTGTTGGTTGCAGGAGTTGAAAGGATAGCTTAAGCCAAATGGGATAGAAGGATTTGGATAAAGTACCTGGACCATGCATACCCTTGACATCAGCCAAGAGCTGGGAAGGTATAGACTGCAAGAAGACCTGTGGCTATGCTTCTCCTAGCTTCCCAATTGAGGTAAGTTTTGTAAGGTTTGAAAAGGAAGAAGTTTAAGCCAAATGGGACCCCTTCTTCTTTAAAGTTGGTTTATAGTTAACACAGTTTTATTTTCTCAAAACTATGCGCTCTTACAAATTAATACTGCTTGTAGGTGCCAGAAAATGATCCGAGGATACGGAACCGTAGATGTATTGACTTCATCCGCAGCAGCTCTGTGTGTGGGTCAGGAATGACTTCGGTCTTCTTCAACACTATTCAGCCAAGAGAACAGATCAATCAGCTGACAGCCTACATTGACGGATCTCAGGTGGGAATATTTAAATTGTTTCACAAGGGAGTTTTAATATCGAAAATTCTTTGGGAATCAATGGTGATGTTTATAAAGAAATGTTTCAGTTTAACTCTGAACTTAACTTAACTCTCATTTGTATTTTCATTAATATTTGTAAGATATAATTCAGAACGTTTTCTCAAGAAAAGACATTTCAATCTGTGAATGTTATGTTTTAAAAAATATATTCTTATTCTATATGTGTTAAAAATCAATGTCAGTAAAAGATATATCTAGCTACTAGATACGCAAAATGTCTGTCTTTTGAACACTTAAACCTTCTATATTTTATTTTACTCCAGATTAAAAGTAATTGGACATTTATTATCTAATATGGATGGAAGGTTCCTTCAGTTTAAAGTTTAAATAAGTAAATCAACTTACACAAACCATAAAACAAAATTTTTCCAATTTTGAGTGTGTTGAACCTAGTGTTTACCTAACGTCTCAGACTTTGGTTCGGATGAACAGATTCTATTCTCGGTACATCCAAAAACATATCACAGATTCGGGACCACTTTCCCATAAAAACACTTGATGTTTTAATTATAAAATGCCATTGGCATCAACAGTAAAATCATAACAAAAATTCCCTCCAAGGTGTACGGATTCACCGAGGAGCGAGCCCAGCTACTGCGGGACCTGAGCAGTGACCTAGGTTTGCTGAGGGTGGGGATTTCCTCCCCAGCAGGCAAGGCTATGTTGCCCATCGCTGGAGGTCAAGAGGTCGACTGCCGTAGGGATGTCACTGAGAGTGATGTCGGCTGCTTCCTGGCCGGAGACATCAGAGTCAATGAACAGGTAAACTGTTTGGTAACCAGGGGTGCCCAGAGGGGGGGTCCTGTGGCGCGTTTGCGCTACAGGAATTTTTGGGGGGGGACTTATTTTGAGATTTTTGGGGGGGGGATATTTTTTTGCTAGCTGTCATAATGAATGTATAATTTTATATAAGCAGCCCGAAAAAGTGTTTCCAAGTAGCTCACTATCACCACCAACAACATTTTGCCGTTCGTAATTAAGATAGGTAGCTTCTAAGAATGGTAAAAACGGACCTTGCCAGACAATCCTTAATATACCAGTGTCGAATGTTACTTGCTACATATGTTTTGGTGGTTCTTTAACTCCACCATCGTCAGGATTTAATAAAAAAGATCCACTTCTGGAGGTGTCGTCAGAATACGACAAACATTTAATACAAAACACAAAACGATTACAGATAGGCCTGTCAATTCGTACATTGCCGTCGGCAGGACTGGAAGTAAGTAAACTGAATCAGGTTCAGGTTATGGCGGACCGACGTGGTCTCTGGATTGTCGTCTGCGTTTTCAACAGCTGATATTGGACTATTGTAGTGACTGAGAAGAGTATTGAAAATATAATGTGATTCATAATTAATGTGCTGTCAATAGTTTTATCATAGACTAGTATGTTTTATCTATGGTTTTATGTATATTTCAACCTCCTCAAAGTATTTAATAAATTTCCTTTTCTGCAGTAATGTAGAATGTCGAGACCATCCAGCATATAAATTGGTTATTATTGTCAATAATTTTGAATGGAAAAATCAATTATGAATCCCATTATATTTTCAACACTCTCCTCCGTCACTATAATTAGAATTAGTCCAATTTCAGCTTTTGATAACACACACACCAATCCAGAGACCACGTCTTCCGTCATTACCTGATTCAGTTTACTTCCAGTCCTGCCTGCGGCAATATATACACGCGTGAATTGATAGGACTATCTGTTATCGTTTTGTGTTTTGTGTACAAACGGATTGTCTGACAAGATGCGTTTCTACCATTATTAGTCATAAAAGGCAATCCTGGGGCTATCAAAATGAATTATAAGATTACTTTGTCACAAAAACCTTTTGTACTGGTGGCAATTATTAAGAGATACTGTGGGTATTTTGCCCGGCGATTTTTGTAGAAGGCAGCCTGGGAGTGGCGAGCAACAAGTCTGTCTTATTTCGTGACTCTGCCTATAATTTTGAAACAATATACTTTTTGCCAAAGTACTCGTATTATTAATGCACTTAAAGCTGTTTGAATTCTTAAGCCCTGTAAAAATTAACGCCACCTAATATATTGTACAGTTACAGTACTGTGTTGGAGTAGAGTAATTCACCGAGTAGGCCTATATTGTTGTACGTTTTGAAGACGTTGTCTATTGCAATTGCAATACTGAGCACACATATTGGCTGACAATACAGATTCTGAATTGTAAATTGAAAAACTTCGAATTCGTCCATTAGTTAGATTTATATTGATGTAGTGTTAAATGACGTTTCATATTAAACATTTAATTTTGATTATCAGCAAGTTTGTTTTTCGTACCTCAAGTTTACTGAATACTTTAAATGCTTGTTTTATGAGGTAAAGGGAAAATTGTCATATAAATTGGTGAGGGGAGGGTAGGTTTATCATTAAATAGACGGCAGCATAAATTGGGGGGGGGACTACTCCTTTGGCTTGGGGGGGATTGCGCCTCTGGGTTTGGGAGGGATGGGCACCTCTGTTGGTAACCCATGATGAATCTAAGCTTATAACATAAAAACACAATTCGGATGCACATCAAGATCAAAATGGATAGGTCTCCAAGTAATATTTGTACAAACACATTTTATACATTTTACCATTGACTATACACAGAAGTCAATGATTTTACTCTTAGTCATAATAGTTTTTTTGTGTTATCCCAGTTTCAAAGATTTGAATTATATTAATTATATTTTGTTGCATTCATTCTTGAGGTAAAGATTTTAGTCACTCTATGTACGTTTCGTCAGCACGTGTGACATACTGTCTTAGTACTTTTAAATCTGAACAAAATCACATAAACCTCGACATTGTAAACTCAATATGGTTCAAAAAAGCAATTATGCAATTTTTAATTTCCCCATTAAAAACCATAATAATTACTTCTGTTGCTTACCCATTATAATTGTTTTCTCTTGTACAAGTATTAGGCGATGTTCAATTTTAATATCAGGTTAAAGGGAGAAAGTATGTGTCAGTTGGCAGACACCTTTTATTTACCTTCATAAGAAAATGTTTCAAATTCCCATGATCTAAAAATATCAATTTTTTTTCTCTCGTAATTGTTCCTCCTGAATCATCTTCCACCACTTACATCAATCTTTTAACACAGATCGGTCTAACTACGATGCACACAATATGGCTGCGGGAGCACAATCGGGTAGCGCAGGAATTACGTGACATCAACCCCCACTGGGACGGTCACACGTTGTTCTACGAGGCTCGCAAGATAGTGGGCGCGGAGATGCAGCACATCACGTACGCCCATTGGTTACGTCATGTACTGGGCGCCAAGGGGATGAACATGCTGGGTGATTACACCGGCTATAACCCCAACATTGACCCTGGGATCTCCAATGTGTTTGCGACAGCTGCATTGAGGTTTGGCCACACACTGATCAACCCAGTGCTACGCAGGCTGGACTCTGAGTTTGCTACTATTCCTGAGGTACTTGGTTATGATGAGTGTTTTATTTATGTTTTATTTGAGTGTTTTTAATTTATGTTTTTCTTCACTAGACTCTCAAACCAGTGATGAACTAAATAAACCTACTTGTCATCAAAACTGAGATTTTTAAATAAAGATATAGGTCGTAAAGGCACCTTGTCTGTCTTCAACCCTTTAGATTTTCAAATTGTATAGACTATATTCTATTTGATGTTCTATTTGATTTAAGATGGACAAGATATTATTTTTTTTATATATATTTCAAACATTTAGTATTTCTAATCATTTTGCAAAATGTTAACCGAAACCCCCTTGTAGTAGCTTTTACAAAATTTACTTAGAACTTTGTAAATTTTACCAAGAGAAAGTAAAAATATTGAGATTCAAATACTGTATTAAAACTCTAAAATGAAAATCATAAAAGCAATTATGTAAAATGCAAACTATTTCTGCATGTGCAGCTTGGAAAAAGTACAATATAATCTTTATGAATTTTTAGTGAATGAAATTTTACTGGGACAATCCCACATTGCATGCATTTTTAGAGTGGGATACTTGGCAAAAGTCCTATCCCCCGGTTATAAAACTTTGTTACATTTTCTCCAGGGCGATTTACTGCTGGGTAAGGCGTTCTTCTCTCCGTGGCGCCTCGTTGACGAGGGGGGGACTGACCCACTGTTACGAGGGATGTTCATGACTGCGGCCAAACGGAAGATGCCTCATGAAAACCTGAACAAACAGCTTACTGAACATTTGTTCACCGTCGCCCATGCGGTCTCTTTAGACTTGGCTGCCATGAATATTCAGCGAGGACGTGACCACGCTCTCCCACCTTACAACGATTACCGCGCAGTCTGCAACCTCACAGTGGCACAGACCTTTGATGACCTACGGGGCGAAATATCCAACAAAGCCGTCAGGGACCAACTCCAAGAGCTTTATGGTCATCCAGGTTTGTGGTTTTTATTAGTTGACTCCATGTAGTAATATTTTAACATACTTGATTTTAGATTGGAATTGTTTATAGTTCTAATGGGACTCACAATTGTAATTTTTTACGAGGTTAATGGCCTATCAGAGCCTTCCATTTTCTTGTCCACCTATGGCCTCTGTGTGTGTAGAAATGTAGAACGTAAGTAAGGAGAACGACAGTAGAGTACAAGAACTAATTAACTGGACTGATAAAATAAAGTGGTGAACATCAGGACCCATGACATCGCTGCTTTGGTCAATTACCCTACTTATTTAGCCACGAACTCACAAATTAAGATTGATAATAAGCACTACCAAGTTTTGTGTGAGGCTCACAGTGTTAATAGTGTAAAAATTTAAATAAGTTAAAATATTATTTCCTGAATTTGAGGTCAATTGCATGTTTGGTTATTTGTTGTGCCTTCCTTGTCTTGGCACTTAAATATTTCAATGAAAATGTGGACTAAATTAATTTGGAAAAATATTTTCTAAAATGTGAAAAATAAGAAACTGCAAAAAATATACATTAGTTGAAGTTTATATCACCGATAGATTATACTGATGTAAATTACTGATTTCTCTGGAATAATATTATTTTTTACCAATTCTAAACTGATAAGATGACTTTGGTAAGAGCTTCTTTTGTGTCACGTCAATGTCAACTATCTCAAACAAAAAAATATGGTAGAAAAAAGGAATTAAGACCCTATTGCAATCTTTGTGCAATAAGTGTGGGATATGCTATGCAGGGTACTCATTGTTGTGGTTTGCCCCTGAGCTGTTAAGACAAATATTAATAGTGGTTTATTTACCATGTATTTTCGTCACAGCTCAAAAATGTTGTATAGAAGCTACAACCATGATTTCGACGCCGTTTGCGTCATGGTCACGTAGGACATGTCCTACATCTCGACACATCGCGTCAAAACCATGGTTGTAGCTTCTATACAACATTTTTGAGCTGTGACGAAAATACAAGGTAAATAAACCACTATTAATATATGCAAGATGTCTCATATAGCAATATCCATAATTTTGGCCCCACTACTGACTTAGATGGTTTTATAACCATGATCAAGGACAGACTTTTGTTTCTAAGTATTGCTTACTTTGGTTTGTTACAGGTAACATTGACGTCTGGGTTGGGGGCATCCTCGAGGACCCAGTGGACGGAGCCAGAGTCGGACCTCTGTTCAGGTGTATCCTTGTGGATCAGTTCCGCCGTATGCGAGATGGCGACAGGTAAGATGCCTTTACACTTTACACATATAACGCAGTATATTTTAGTTCAACTAATTTGGTGGTAAAAATTAGGTTCAGGGATTGTCAAAAAACTACGTAAATCATATTTTTTTTGCATTGGCTGATTGAGTGGTCAATGTGAAAATCATGTCATAGAGAGTCTGGTTCAATTCTTACCAAACTCATGTGGAGTTTAGCTACAAAATAATCTAAATTTGGTTGTTTGAAAACCTACAGTTTAACCTAAAAACAAAAAGTAATACATGTCTCTCAGGTAATGAGAACCTTCTATGAGCAGCTTTTTCTTATTTCATGCTCTAGAGGCTCATTTGTGAGTAGAGTTAATTGCAACAAATATTCTTTAGTAGCTTGATTTTTCATAGACATTCATTGCACATGGAAGGTACAGTCACATTGTGCAATTTACAATAGAGAATACTGGAAATTATTAGGTTTTGAGCTACCGTAGCTATAACTTTTGCAATATTTTCGATTTGTTTTACAATCAACAATAATTTGATTTGATTGTTTTATCTTTGTCAGGTTCTGGTATGAGTCACTAGCCACTTTCAAGCCGGAGCAGTTGACACAGATCAAACAGGCCTCTCTAGCTCGGGTGTTGTGTGACAACGGAGACAACATCACCCGAGTTACACCCGACGTGTTCCTGCTCCCTTCTGTGCAGCAACCCTCTCTCGTCTCCTGCCGGGATCTGCCAGCAATGGATCTGCGCTTTTGGTATGAGTGCGAAGGTATGATTTTCAAAAAGGTATTTTAACTTTTAATTAAAATTTCTGAAACTTGTTTAACAGTGATTCTTTAGTCAAAGTTTTGTTCATACTCCCTAGGAAATGTTCTTGTCATCAGTGGTAGTGGGGCTACTGTTATGGGTATAGGGTCTTGATTATCAGAACTTTGATATCTGTCCCTGAGTAATATTCAATCCTCCCTGCACAATTGAATATTGGGCTATTTGTGTGATAAGACTGTACGTACACTGAGCCGGGTACATGGATTTACTCTGTTATTTTACATGGTACTCCATTTACCAACTCTGTATTTACATGGAAGATGCATGTGAAATGCTTTAGGTTCCAGCACTTTATTTTTCTTGATTAACACACACTCTTTTGTAAAGTTTATCAACTTGTCATACACGAATTAGTTCCCTCTCTACAATCCCTCACAAAAGGGAGCGAGGGAGGTCCCTGAGGCCCCAGGTTCAAATCCTGCCAAATCAACAATGGATTTTATTTTATCTAAGTGATAATGCCAACCCCTAGGTGAAGTAATGTGGCGTCCTCATCTCAATTGGTAATGTGAAAAATGATCCTTGGCTAGTGCCTGTGTGCTTAGACATTGAAGAATTCCCTCACAATACAGCAGTCTCAGTGTGGACCTTTTTGGCTGAATATGTGTATTAAATTATTCTTGTTTGGCACAAGTCTATCTAAAATTTTTCAATCACAAAACCTATATTTTTAAATAAATTATAATTATTGGTTACATTTATACAAATTATGATAATGGTTTCAAAACTGGGGTAAAAATTATTTCAATGTAAAACTAACATATATCACCTTGAATATTTTTAAAAACAGGAAAACTATTCATTAACTAATGTTTTCAACATGTTTGCTTTGAGTCTTAGTATTTTACGCGTTGTTCTGCCTTCCTACCTATCCAACAATTCAGAAGATTAAGGTTGGCAAATTATAGAGAATTTATTGTATATTATTAATGGTATAGTTCTGTACTAAGCTATAAGAAAAAGTCATAAGGTTAAAAAAATAATTAATTTAAAACTAAAACTAAATTTGTTTTTTTTATATAATTCTTAAATATTTCACAACAAAAACTAGACAACTTCCCCATTGTTGTCAACCACTCTAGCCGTTGTGTTTCAGACTGTGATAGCGATGAGAACGAGCTGAGGACGAGGCGAGACCTGATGAACGCTACTGACTCCAGACTAGAGGGTCTGGAGACGATGGTGCAGGAGTTGCAGAAGAGTGTGAAAACTCTCAAGAGAAGGATAAAACAGCTGACTCATTGTAGGGACAGCAACGGAACACTGAGGAAGGAAGGGCAGAGATGGGTCAAGGACGCTTGTACGACCTGCGACTGTAGAGTGAGTAAAGTTTTGTAATTGTCATTGCTTTTTGCTCCTGATCTAACGGAAGACGGTCACAACATTTTTTCTCTCCACTCATTGTTTAAAACAATGACTGTACATGAGTGAAGATTACTAGAGTCTAATCCCATCTATGGACAATCTGCTGCCATTTTTTTATTAAAAAGAAGACAGTAGTTGTGTGAGCCAGTCAAAGATTGTGCTAGTGTGTAAAATTATATTTTCTTCCTTATTTGTTGTAAATGAAGTAGATTTACATGATAAAAGATGCTATATCTTACGATAAGTATTCATCATATATTCACATCAGTTGTACTTGGTTGAAAAGTCTGCATATTTGTCAGAAACTAGTAATTTAAATTAGTGCAATCTGACGGTGACTCAGATCAACTACCTATGTCTTTTTGGATAAAAAAAACTGGTTACATCTTTAACATGGGAATGGAAAATAGTTTCAAATAGTCCATCAGTAAAAGCTTAAAACTGGGAGGTACCCCATGTATGGACCTTCTGAAGCCAATATTGTGGTCAAATATAACAAAGCTAAACAAGCCACTTGTCACTTAGTGTGCTAATCTAAAATTATATTTTCTACCAAAGCTTTTATCATTTAGGTAGTATGTAAAATATAAAATAATAGTACAGTATACAATATAAGATGACATTTTGATTTTGTTTGGATAAAAAGCTTGCCTATTTGACAGGAACCAATAATTAATTGACATCAGACATCTCTAGTGGGTCAATTCTACGTCCATTGTTATTCTTAAACTGACTATAAGTTACAATTTAACATAGGAATGGGGTGAATTTTAACTGTGAAGAGATATTATCTATGGTTCTAATGTCAAATGATAATTTAAATTAACTTATTACTTTTTTAGAGGTTAAAATAATTTAAATTAGACTACCTACTCTACAAAATACACATTCCAGAGTCTAATCTCAAAATATTTGTCTGTAGAAGGAGCAGGTAACCTGTACGACCCTGGTGTGTCCGAAGCTCACGTGTGATCGTCCAGTGAAAAAGCCAAACATTTGTTGTCCTACGTGTGAATGATAGTCAGCAGTGAAACTCAAAACTAACTGGTAACCGCTAAACCGTCAAACAAACTGTTTGTCATTTACAAAAAACTTACAGTTTTTTAGAACACAGTGAAAATTTGCACGGTTTTCTAAAAACGGGAGATTATTACGAGATATTTTCTGCACTAAGATAAGTGTTTTTATTTTCTAACAAGTTTCTTGTGGACACACATATAGTCGAAGAAGTATATTTTTAGTGATTTTAACATTACAGTTTAAAATGTTGAAATATTCTTAAGGCTGCTTTATGCATCACCAAAAGATTTAAAAGAATATACTTATTGTTTTTAATAGCAATGGAAATAATCTGTTACTATGTGTTTTAAATTTATTGCTGAAATAGGTTCTGAATTGAAAGCAATATGTTTTTTTTTTTTTTATTTGATATAAATTGCATTTTGTATTATTTAGCCTGCTTAGTCAAAACTAGCAGCAATTATTGTAATCGTTTATCAACATGGATTCATTTGGTTGGTGCAATCTGATTAAAGTTATGTGCTAAAGTGGGGTTATAGGTTTGCAGCCATATTGGTCACAATGTCATAAGAGACTTGATCACTTCAAGCTAACCTAATTTCAGTGATGTTTAATATGCTGGCCACTGGAGTCTATTTATGTTCAAGATTTATAACTGTGAAAGAACAAAACACCACGATCCCTTACACCAAATATCTTTGCAATTAGATTGCACCAGCCAAATTGTTGCAAGTATCAGCAAAAAAACTGTACATTAAAGGATCTGGTCTAAAGAAATGCCAATAGTTTGTTTTACATTTGAGCATTAATTATATAATGCTTTACTTAGTTTAACTGCTTTTTTGTATTATTTTAGTCAACTGCTCGACCATTGCTGGATTTAAGATGTTTTCTCAACAAATTATTATGTAGGTATTTTGCGTCGTTGCTACTTGAATAGTTAAATAATGGAAGAACTGTTATATTAATTTTATTCATCTATAGCTGGATATCATTTGCAAGAGGTTTTCTTTTCTGCCATTTTTATTCCAGCCATTCAACACTAACATTGATCAAAATTGTCTTCTTATGTTTTAATAATTCACAAGAGTTTAAACTTTTTAGATTGTTGTTGACATAATTTTTTGACTGTTCTTTAGCTTTAGTAGTAAAATAAAATGTTAATTATTCTAGAATTGTAAATAGACAACAGTTTTGTGTTAAAACTAAATGCATTTTCCTTGTGACATAGAAGTTTTGTATAATTTATTTGCAAGCGAGTTTTTTTAGTTTTATTTTCCAATTGAATTAGAATGCATAAGTTATTAGTTTAATTGCTTCTAATTTTACAATTTTTTTTGTCCCTTTAATTTTCTGTGGAAACACATGAAAACTTATCAATATTATGATAGCTTACATATTTAATTGTTCTTATGTAAATGAACTATTTTTTAAGGTATAGTTTTATATTACTGTGAATAACATAAGCTTGTGATTGCCATATTGTAATACCATGTCTTTTTTCTGTTGATTCTTTCCGATTCATTAAACTTTTAAAAGTAACTAGTCGGATTGGAGTCATACTGTTTAGGAATTTGATTTGATCATGGAGTGATCTTAAAAACAGTTACTTAAGAATGAACACAAACAAATTTGCCTAGAATTTTCTTTCTTTTCAAACATTTTTACCATTTTAAATTAATTATAGCTATGTTTTTTTTTACAATCACAACTCATTGAATTTCTTTTGTGAGTATCTCTCTAAATGCTAAAGGATGTTCTAGCTTACCTGTGTGTTTTTAACTTTATATTTTATGTTTATTCAAAGAATTTATTTATTATGACAGCCAGCTTTCCAAAAGCATAGCTTTATTTTATTTTAGATTTATTGTAAAGGAGTTCATGTTTGTAAATTTCTCGGCCAAATATGTTTCTGACATATTTCTAAAACCGGTTGGTTTGTAAATAAAACATTATTTTAAATAAAACTCTTAAGCCCTTACAGTTTTATTTTAGTTAACACTTGTATATTTTTAGTGAAGTGTTTATAAATGATTGCGTCTTTCTTTCTGCCATGTTAAAAACATGACAAGTGTGTTTTATACAGTGTAATAAAAGTTGAAAACTGCTCAACATTTTTGATTTTTTACCTTTTAAAAATTAGGAGAAGCATGGTGAAATTTTGTATTGTTTGTAGACTAGGCAAAATCAACTACTGATTTCTTTCTTTGTAAATGAAATGTACCATGATTAGTCACCATTCTCAGCCTTAGATGTCAGCTTCCACCTTGTTTTGGCATTACTTACTGTATTTATATACAACATATTTGTAACAAGCATAGACTTATACTTCATCTATGATATAAGACAACCACTTTAATATTTTAATACTTTAATACTTTTCAATGAAATGGCGACCATACAAAGTAGGTATTTTAAGCAAGTATGAATCTCTAAATCAATCATAAAATCATTGCATAGACAAATAGAATAAATATAGACTGTCGATGCTCGGTGTTAGATTTGTCTCCGCCGTCAGCTCCTCACTATTTAATTATGCTTGGCGCTGCAGCCACACTCGATATATGGCGTGCAGCCTTGGGCTGCCTCAAGTTAGGGTGGTGAAGACTATAAAAGCGAGTAGCCCTCACTAAAGTTTCTCTCCCTACCTAGACCTCTCTCCTATTTAGACTCTCACAACCCAAGCCAAAACTCCTGCCTCGTAACATGGGCTAGTTATATGCTATTGAACATCGTTGTTATTTTCTTCCCTACTCACTAGACTGTGCAAAGTAAAAGGCAAAGCAAAATCGATATTTTCTATTTTTCATTCAACTAAATTTTCTTTAACCTCAAGTTGCTCCTGTCATAGGCAGACAATAACCCTTGATAAGTTCTATTCTTTATATCGTTCCCAGACGACAAAAGGTTATACTTGTGTAAAAGTATCTCGGCACAGAGGATCAGCAATGAAAGGATAATATTGATCAAAATTATCAAGAAAGGTGCTTTAACATGTTCAAAGCTGACTTCAGTATAGCCTGGAGGTGTCTGGCAGTCTGGCAGATTGCTGATTGTGTGTCTAAGCATCCTTGTCAGTATACCATGCTCTTTGAATCGTAGCAACCTGGAAATCATAAGAAAGAAGTTTAACTCTGTTTTATTATTCATTGTGACCCTTGGTTGGAATATTATTGATAAAATTAAATGATTACCTTATTTAACCACAGCAGTTAATTGATTGTTGACAAAAAGTGTACTCCAAACTGGAAAGATCTTGGCTATGCCGAGTATCCGAATCGCATAACTATACACCTTTGGTAAGAACATGGAAATAGTTGAAGAATTACCACAAAGTTTTAAGCTTCATGTTGAAGAATTATTTACCATCTGCAAAGCTAAAAAACTCAACCCGTGTAATATTTTTAATGGTCAATGTAATATTCTTTCCAGTCAAATGTTGTATTTGATACATACTGTATATTGTCGAGTTACAAATCAAAGAAGTGTAAATAAGAAGAACAAAACAAACTGAAATACAGGTGGCACTGGAGAGAAGAAGAAACATGATGAATTCATTATTCAGTCAGTTTTATTTAGTCAGTGGCAGTGACAAGACATTGCTGGCTAGCCTGTACAGTTTTAATCAATTTAAAAAATGTATTCCAAGTTACCTATTTTTAATATGACAAGTTTCAATTATTTTGATTGTGACAGTGTTTAAAAGAATCTATTGACATATCACAATGTACATATTGATGATGTGGTTACATTCAAAATGACCTGATGAAGTTCTAAGGAATGAAACTAGCAGTCATACCAACAACTGTGGTTGGATAAGGTAGGTCCTTTGTAGGGCTAATCATTTTATTTTATCGTTAATGTTTGTATTAAATGGTTGTTTGGAAAGAACATTTATATTTTACAGTAGCCCACTATGAAGTGGTTGGGAGAGACCTGGTATAGTGGTAAAGTGTGGGCCTTCTAAGCCCAAGGCCCTAGGTTAAAATCCTGCCAATCACAAATGGATCTTATCCATGTGTTAATACCACAACCCTCTAGGACTAGCCTGAAGTAAGTGTGTGAGAGCAGTTCCAGGCTAGAACCTGGCAGCCTAGAATGTGAAGGTGGGACAAAAAAAACTGCCTGTGGTTAAAACCAATCAGCTACCCAACTATATCAAGAGCACCAAGGTCTAGTTTTAAACCATCAAAACTCTTCTCACTTTAATCATATTATTCAACGACATCTCTACCAACAAATACTACACACAGTCTTACCAGTAGTTAAAGGGAGTGATGATAGGCGATCCTTGTTTCACAACAAATCCGCTGAAATGGTTGTGGTGGGTCTGTTTGGCCACTGCGAGGTCACACAGCACATTCTCATGACCCCAGGGTCGCAGTACTGTGTAGTGGTACAACAAACTGATTTCTGACATCACTCCTGCAGCTCCTGAGTGCTCCACCTCTTCAAGTAGCTCATCGAGGGTTGTCACACACTTGAACCTCGTCCCCTCCTGCCCGTCCATCAGGAGACTCTGAAGAACGATTCAAACAAATCTAAATAATCATTGATCTTTTCACCACAGAGAAGTACGGTACAGAGGAAACATTCAGTGGTGTCTAGCTTTTTTCACTGGTGTCTAGGGCTATGTCCAACACCGTCGCTTCTCCTAGGACATACTACAACGTTTATGCTGGAAGGAGACCCTGTGCCCTGTGCGACAGGAACTACCACACAGTGTTAGCTGCATCCATTCGTCTTCTTCACAATACATTTACAATTACACTTAGCCGTGTAGACAACAATGCAACATTGCATATCAGTTGGTGTTGAAATAAAGGAAGCAGGACTGCCAACTCATGAGCTTGGTTTAACCCTCAGTGGTTCTCTATCCTTGTAGTTTGGGTAAAAATTGCCCTTTGGATACAGCTTTAAAGTAGGAGTAGAAGTTCTATTCATCTATTCCAAACACATAACTTGCCTTCAAGTACTTGTCAGCACCAGTATTGCAGACCAAGGTGTATGGAAGGTTCATCCTCACTGCTTGATGCCACTTGAGAGTGGAAGGCTCGGAGCGAACGGCCAACAAAGAGGTGATTCCAGCCGCAAACCCAGTGTAGATCATGTTTGTGATCAAGTAGCCAATGACAAACATGGTGCGGCAAGAACAACCCTGCGGTTGTTTCGCTGACCCTATCAAGTAAACATAAAATACAGTATTAAAGTATTTGTATTTTCAAATTGGTGGTTGAGGCTGATTTTTACAAAAAAAAGGATTTAATTGGCAAGGTTTTCAAGTTTTGATTGGCAGTTTTTTTTTTGTGCCACATGAAGGTTCAAATTGCTTAGGCGAGGTTATTTTTGCTATGGGGCAAATTTGAAAAGGATCATGTGTAGGAAAATTGTTTTAATTCACAAAAACTTTGGAGACAATCTCTACTCTCTCATCAGCTGTCTATTTGAACAAATCTGTCACTCACATACATCTGTCAACTTAAAACGGATGCTAAAAGTAGCTGACGTCTTAGACAAAAAAACTGTAATCACAGTGCCTGATTTGTACCATGCAGGAGCGTCAATTTTCCTTCACATTGTTAACTGCTATGACAAGACTATTTGTGGACTCGTTAGTTATGGATGAAGTAAAGAGCATACTGGTCTCAGATCTGAACTAGCTTTATTGCAAGTTTGATAGAGACCTTAATTTATGGACAAGCTTGCCTTTTCATTCACTAAGATTGAATACAAGTAATAACTTGTCTTTCGCCTTAGATTCATAATGGAACTGTTTTAAGTGTCCTTTTTTAAACAAAATATGTATAGTGGTTCAACTAGGATGACAGAAAAACTGTACTGCTCATTACAGTATGATAATCTTTAACCTTTTTTAAGATGGTGATACGAGTGCAGCTTTTTACGACACTTTTCTGCACTGCTAACCCATTGGTGCTTAAGTACTTAGTTGGGTATCAACTACAATTGCTAGTATCACAGATCTTAGACAACTTGTCCCATGTTACCAATATTGGTGACTGAATCAACTAGCCTGTTACACTTTTATCTTTTGACAGCACAGTGTCAAACTTAAGTCAACTCTTGGTGTTTCTTCATACCTTGTTGGCAGACGGCACCAAATGTCCACTGTACAACCTCAAGCCAACTCCAGTCATTGTGCCGAGGTTTGATGCGATGGTGAAGATGAGTCGACAGACGGAAACACAACGCCAGTAAAATGGAGACTCCAAACAAGTACAGCCACATGTTGCCTCCTGCGGTGTTGCGAAGAAACAGGTCCTTCTCTAGCGGTAAACGAGAAGTCTGGTAGACGATCACCATCCTGGAGTTAGCAAGGGTGAGTTTTTACTTGAGAATTTTATATTTCATCTGATCCATAAAATCTTTGTGATACCCCATTCAAGAGAGAATAATCAATAATCAATCAATATTTATTCAAAACTAGAGATTTATACACTAAGATAGTAGTTTGAATAAAAGCTTGATTGGCAAACTACTTTGGTGAGGTAGTGGCTCAGGTCTGTAGCACCATAGACTTCGACCAAAGCAGCGCAATGTCATGGATTCGGATCCTGGTTACTGCCACTACTTTTAATCAGTAACCTTGACTGGTACGGGTGGTGTCGTCCTGTAATCCAGCTACTAGGAGGTCACCAATTGTGGATATTTATAGGCATGCACTGTGGATGCGATACTCCCTGGTGTGGATTTATGTCCGCACGAGTGAGTACTACGACTATTTGCAGTACTATCCTGATGATTAGACCAATTCGTATATACCAAGGAAAAATGTGGTTCGGATTCCACTATAAACTGTAGGTCCCTAAGTTGCCATTAGCTGTATGGGCTAATTATTCACAGCTGTGTCTAAGGAATATGTCGGCCTTAGTCACTAACAAGACTACAAGATCGCGCCACTCATTCTACACTCATCTCCATTCATACTTGGCTTAAAATACCTACTTTGTATGGTCGCCATTTGATTGAAAAGTATTAAAAAAGTATTTAAGTATTGTACTGTACCGGCTCACCTCTTGCTTTCTCGCACAGGCCTCTGTGGCCCATATGTGCACAAACAAATGCAAGGCTGCCAACCTCTTAAAAAACAACTCGAAGCTGGAAAACTAATCTAGACCCTGTTCTATTTAGTGTTGGACCCAACAAGCTGGGAAATTAAAACTATTATTTTTTGTTGTTGTTGCTTCATCAGTTGATGTTACTTAATAATTCTCACATCGATTAATCACAACTCTCTACTCCAATACCTTGAATGAAGCGTGGGCAGCAGCAGTTGTACATTGTCTGGAGTATTGTCAAGGGATGGATGACAAATCATCATATCCGCTCCAGTTGTGGGGGAGTTGAAAGTATCAGAGTCTTCCACTTCAACTGATTTGTAGTTCACACTGAAAGTTTGAGGTTAAGGTACAGTCTTATACTTATACTTATTTAAAGTCATAGTGAATTTATGTTGACATTCTCAAAGGAAAAAAAATGTAGGTACTGTATACGTTGTGTCATACTTTCCCGCCTAACTAGATTAGGTTGTTTCTTATAACTTCTCATGGAATTTCAATTATCAAATCAAATATTTCAATTGAAATCAAATTTCAATTTCAGTTAAAAACCAATGAAACAATGAATATGTATGTGTTGTGGGTTGTGTACAGTTGGGTTGTTTGTAAAATTAAGATTTCCTACGAGTTCTAGTTGCAACAGGTGAGTTTTACTCATTTCAAATCTGACATTAGTGATGTTCTTTACTTCTCACACTACTTAAGTAGTGAATTTCTAGCCCACCCCTTGTGACCTTAATTTACAGACAACCCTCCTATAATTTAAAATTATAGAAAAATTAAGGGGATGAAATTCCGCTTACGCAAACCTTTAACTACTATACTTATCGGATTGATTTCATATAGCTTTTACAGCAAAAGAAGTTCCCTGGCAAAAATAAAGTTTCAACACTTGTTCTGTTAGATACCTATTTTGTTTTCTAGATATTTTTTGCTGGTGTACCTAGTATTCTAAAACTTCTCACTTAAGGATCATCTGACTTACACTCATTGGTATATGTCAGGAATTTAACCCTAAGCCCTGGGACTGAGGTTCTGTGCTCAACTAATAGACTATCTCCGCACTTCTACATAATTCTATAACATAGTCCCTTAAAGTTATGGGAAACAATGGAAACTTGATTTCCAAACAAATTGTTATGCCTTTCTTCATCACCCTTATTCTTAAATTGTCAATATATTTGTTACAACACAATAAGAGTTTACCTGAAGTTCAGGATCTCTTGAAGCAAGCTGATGATTTCATAGCTGTATCCGAATTTGGCTAAAGGATCAGAATCGTGTTTCACTACACAGCTGAACCCAGTTTGATTGCTGTGCTGGAAAGAAATTTTACCCTTTTTAGATTGACACTAATTTTATGTGGTTAATGAATCTACGATTTGTTACTCATTCAAACCTTATACACTGTAGAGTATGTTACTCAAAGATGTTACTCTAGCCTGTAACGTAGTAGATATTCATACTTGGCAAAATACGTACTTTGTATGGTCGCCATTTCATTGAAAAGTATTTATAAGTATTTAAAGTATTTAAGTATTCGTTTTTATTTATATCTCAAACAGAATTCCTACAAAATGCAGAGCCGCTTCAGTGTGGGCCCGGAGGTCAGGGGCTCTGGGGCGCAAGAGATATTTTGGTTAATTTGGGACACAAGGAAGAGAGAAAATCCCCCGCAAAGAAAATGGAAGGAAATTTCACTCGGGTCCATGGCGTGTCATATGAAAATCGCAGGCCTCAACAAATCGGATTATGCTAGAGAACATTGGGGTTATTACACATCATGTCATCCCAGGTAACAAAAAAAGCTTGAGAAAGGTTTGTCACAAACCTTTTTTCTCAAACCTTTAAACTTGCTACAAGTGTATAACGGCAAGCTTGTACACTTGGGGCAAACTTGTAGCAAACCTCCTAGTTCCCATCAGACAAGCTTGCCACAGGCCTTCTGATTAAACTTGTCACAGGCCTTCTATACAAACTTGTCAAAGGCCTTCTGATTAAACTTGCCACATGCCTTCTGGTTAAACTAGCCACACACCTTATGTTTAAACTTGACACAAACCTTCTGTTCAAACTTGTCACAGGCCTTCTGTTTAAACTTATCACAGGCCTTTTATTAAAACTTAGAAACTGTAACAGATATATTTTGTTCCATAAAACAAATTAATAAATCATTGAAAATATAGCTCAGATAAAAATGAAGCACATTATGTTTATGTTTCATAGTAATGTATGTAAAATAAATTAAATTTTGTTTGGCCAACAAAACTTTTTACTTTGCCAGATAGAGAATGCTAGGTTTTAAAAATAGACTTGGGAATGTAGGCTAATTAGAGATAAATGTGTTGGATCCTGTTTGAAAATAAAAGTAACTAATTACTAACTAAAAGCCAAAATAAAGCACTGAGCAATAAATAAATATGTTTTATGACAACTGTTCATTTCATGGTAGAATACAATCATTTTAAGAAATGTAGGCTATGGGTTTCAAAAAGGTATTTTACTTAAAAATTATTTTTGTCAAATGCCTACAAACTAACCGTAAGATAGCTTTGTAAGGTAAAGTAGGGCAATATCAGACTTGTTATCAGAAGTCTAATGTGCCCTAAATACAGCTTTCAGAACTAAATCAGTAGTTTAATTTTTACTCAAAGCAAATTTAATATAAATGCCTCTAATAGAAAAACTTGAATGTTATTAGAGGAAATGCTAAACAGAGCTAACTCCTCGGTTGAATTTAAATTGACTCCATATAATAGACCTAACACAGTACTGTATTAGTTACATAGCTTTACTAAGCTGTAATGACAAAAAATGAAACAAATTTATTCCTATACCTACAGTTGATTTCAAACTAATTGAGAAATTATCTTAATCAGAGAAGTTTTGACAATGGAAATCAAACAAAGTAAAAGTGCACTTAACATTTTATATTCTGAAAATATTTACACAGGTTTAAATTACAATTCGTACAGTATTCAGTCAGATCAGAACACTCTTCAGCAGCGGGTGTTGCTTGCTGTCTGTTAGACCTGAAAAACAGAAATTAAAAATATTTTGTTGTCTCAATAAAATTGATGTTTTGTAGTATTTTTTTAAGTTGCCATACATGTATTCCCTCAATAAATTATGTGACTTTGCCAAATTTATGGATTATAATTTCCTTTAGATCTGAAAATATTTATTATTCCTATGATGAGATAAATGTTTCAAATATTGCTTTGTGTGTGAGCCAATTATTTGCAAAACAACTATGGGCATGGTGTTCCAAATTTAATATATCTTTACTTAGGTTTCCAAATAAATTTAATTTTGGTCGGACTGAAATGAGAAAATAGAGGCTTTTTACAGTTTATAAAGTCTATATCACTATACCTTTTTCCATGACACTTGAAAAATTTCATACCGGTACTGTAGGTTTAGACCTTTATTAGATGTTATAGCTTTCAGGGATTAGCTTCAAAACATTTTAAAAGTACCTATGTTTGACTTTTTAAAGGAGTTCAAGTAAAATTTCAATAAATTTTAAACTTTTTAGAAATATATTTGAACATTGTAAAAAGTACAAACGCTAAAACAAAACAATAAATTGGACAACTGACTCACAACAGAAAACAATAAATAATTAACCAATCAGCTGATGATATTAAAATATAGAAAAAAATAGAATATCATTAATTTATACTAGATCTAGTATCATTAACTAATAAAACAGATGACTGGGAAATTTGAGACAGGAATGGGTGATGTTAATATTAGAGACGGTCTAAGACTAATGAATACTACCATTTTAGGCCCGGTTCACACAAGCGACTTATCTAGCTGACTAGGCTGTGACTAGGTAAGCCCGACTGGGTAGAGGACTACAGGATTAAATGGAACCGTTCACACAAGCGTAGGGCGACGACTAGCGAGCCGTGTTCGAGCTTGGTGTCCCAAACTATTGTCGGGCCCCGCTTCCAAGTCACTCATGGCAGCAACCCAGTTGCCCGCTCTAGCGGCTTAGCAGTATGGCCCCTATGGGAGCGTTCACACGAGCGATCGGTCGTCACGCTGCAGCTCGCATTCTTCCCTTTGTTCTCATTGTCGCCAGTGATGGATCCGAGTAACATTGATATCGATATTTGTATTGAATCAATGAAGCAACAACCGTTTCTTTGGAACAATTATCTTTATAGGCCTATTATTAGTATTACAAGTCCAAATATAGGAATAAACTAAATATAAATTTGTAACCGATTAATAGGTTTATAATATAATTTTATATTGACCCTATACACTCTAAACAATGATGTTTTTTCAACCAAACTTTATAATAGTTTAAATGATAGTTTGTTGGGTGATTCCAATGCAAATTTAGTTTTGAAATGATTCGATAATTGTTTAAAACATCGTTATTGTCCAAAACGTCAATGTAAAAAAAAATTCACTTACCATTGACGCAAAAACATCAAATATTTCCAGAAATATGTCAACGTATTGAAAATATTGATGTATTGAAAACATCGATGTATTAAAAACATCGTTTATCGATGCACATTCATTTACGTCACACCTACGACCTAGTCCGTTGACATGTCGCTCGTGTGAACCGGTGTATCCTTTGGTCCGCTACCCATTCGGGCTTACCTAGTTACAGCCTAGTTAGCTAGATAAGTTGCTCGTGTGAACCGGGCCTAAGAAGCGAATGCTCAGTCATGGAGAATAGTCAGCTTGGAATTTTGCCACCGAAATGAGCTTTGCGCGGCCGCACTACTCTATCTTACTCGGTAAACTGACTTGGCCGCGCGTTCAAGATAGTCTACGATGCCGATTTCGCAAGAAATGAGACATTAAAGGTAAAAAACAATTGTTGCATACAATACCATTCTACATATAGGCTACATGTGGTTTTTTTCACACTCAGTGGGGTCTTAACTCAATATATAACTGAAATTCAAATCTAATTGACTAGACTAGTGCTGAAATAAACTTTCCATGCACAAACCTGAGGCCCATGTGGACAGGCAAATGTGAGGTAAAAAGGTTAAATAAACCCTGAATTTAACTGGTTCTATTAATGTTTTATAGGTATGGCTAATGTTTTTAATAGAGTTAGAATAATCTAAATGGCATTTTTACTAAGTACAATATCCAAACTAACGGAAGAACTTTGTACAGTTTCCAATGGCAACCTAAATACAGGGTGTCAATAGAACTCTTGGGGTTTTCAAATAGGCCTACATATCTTAACAGATTGGAAATATGAAGTTAATTCCTTAATTCCTTAACAGTTCAACTCATTGTACCAACCAATTGTAAATTTTTGGTCAGCATTTGTTGGCAACACTGTGGCACATAAAATTTGAAAAAATCTAGAGCTGCAATGCCTTACGGAAAATGTTGCTATGGTGACGGGTGCTAGTAAATGAGGAGTTTTTTTATAAACGCCCTTTACTCATAATAATTTCTTATCACAAAGAAATAAGTACGGTACCGTAAATTGAAATAGGAAAAAATACCTCTTCATCAATCTGGGTGTGGCTTGCTGCAGCCACTTCTTGATTGAGTTCTTCATATTCTCAGCCGATGTTTCTCAATGTTTTCTCCTGACAGCATCTATAAATCAGAAAAAGGTGCACTAAACATACAAAATGAGTAAAGTACCAGAGCAAAAATACACCTGAAGCAGCAAACCTGCAGACTATCAATTCGTCTTAAACTGGATTTATGCTTAAAAATTTCCATAAAGCATATTTTGAATAAAGTTAGATCTAACTAGTAACATAGACAAAAAGAATTAAATATAGACTGTCAGCCGTGCAGTGGTTACCATAGGTTCTGGCAGGGGTGCCCAGAGGGGGGGTACTGTGGCGCGTTTGCGCCACAGGAATTTTTTGGGGGGGACTTATTTTGAGATTTTTGGGGGGGATATTTTTTTTCTAGCTGTTATAATGAATGTATAATTTTGTATAAGCAGCCCGAAAAAGTGTTTCTAAGTAGCTCACTATCACCACTAACAACATTTTGCCGTTCGTAATTAAGATAGCTTCTAAAATGGTAAAAACGGACCTTGCCAGACAATCCTTAATATCAGCGAGCACAGAATAAAAATAGAGAGGACATCCGTGCGCGGCGGTGAAGCCAAATTTTCCGCGGGTTTGACCGAATCCGGAGTGGGGGGAGCGATGAGTCACCCTAGTACCGACCGTCTTGAGCGCTGTTATGAGGCTCCGCTAGACAACATTTAGTCGGTTGTTGACATTGCATTCAGCAGAGCTGTAGTGTTTAATCAGTTGAAAATGGTAAATATCACTGAAGTAATCATTTCAAAGGTTTTAAGCCGTTGCATCGGCCTACCCATATTCATATCAGATCATTACAACGATCAAGAATTTGAACAAAACCATCTGGTCTTACTGCTGAAATCAATTTGCAGGAAGTATGTGAACATCAGACTTCATCATTACAGTAAAATATTCAATGATAAAGTTCATTCCTCCCGAGTCAGGCACCACCTAACCAAAGTTGTGACATTTCTAGGCCAATAAGGGTAGAATTGTAAAACCACCGACACTCAATATATGATCTTATAATATTGAACTATATTTACTTGTGAAATACAAGCTTAGAACTAAAGCCTGTTTATTTCTCCACACAATAAATCATCTACAATCATTACCTGAAGAGAAAAAGTGCCAGTAAGTACAAAAATATTTATGTAGGTTAATTAGATAAGTGTTTCATTACTCGAATCTTAGGGCAGCAGTGAGTGACGAGACACGGTCGCAGTGACAGCGTGCAGTGCCCGAGTCGCGCCGCCGCGCACCGTAGGACGGATTTTACTACCTCTTCAACCTAATTTATTTCCTTTACCAGCCATCACAGAATTCTCAGAAAAATATATGTTAAGGTTCAACTAATGCTCTCAAACTTTGCCGCAGACGAAACTTTCCTGACCAAAAAATAAAAAACTTCCTCGATTACTAATAATTTCATGTTTTCACAAAAGAATTAATAATTTCTTTCAGTTTTATCAATTAATAAAAACAAAATAGGATATATATAATATTTTAAAGCTTACTATCATTGAGCAGTACTAATAAATTTTCCCTGTTCCAAGTTTGGTAATTTTAGGACTACTGTAAGTGCGTCTAATCATCGAGTATCATAAAAAGGGTTTTTGACGCTGTTTCACTCGGTCACGGCGAGTTGACCGAATCCGGAGCGGGGGAACTTGGCGTCACTGCCTATAATGTTATTTAAATACGCATGGCCCCTCTATTTTTATTCTGTGCTCGCTGCTTAATATACACTGAGCTATAATTCTAACTGGAGGTAGCACTGAATGTCAAAGATGCGTGTCGCCAGCCGCCATGTTTGCGTGAGGTGTGAGTTATAAGAAGCCATATTATTGCTATGGCTATTATTATACTTGGCTTAAAATACCTACTTTGTATGGTCGCCATTTCAAAGAAAATTATTAAAGTATTAAAAGTATTCAAGTATGACAAAAATACTCACTGCTATACCAACCTAGTTATAAGAAGCCATGTTATTGCTATGGTAAGAAAACTTACTGCTATACCAACCTAACAAAATCAGCGACTCGCTTTTGACAGACTTCTGCCATGGCAGTGCTACCTCCAGTTATAATTTTAGCTCAGTGTTAATATACCAGTGTCGAATTTTACTTGCTACATATGTTTTGGTGGTTCTTTAACTCCACCATCGTCAGGAATCAGGATTTAAAAAAGATCCACTTCTGGAGGTGTCGTCAGAATACGACAAACATTTAATACAAAACATGAAACGCTTACAGATAGGCCTGTCAATTCCTACATTGCCGTCGGCAGGACTGGAAGTAAGTAAAGTAAACTGAATCAGGTTCAGGTTATGACGGACCGACGTGGTCTCTGGATTGTCGTCTGCGTTTTCAACAGCTGATATTGGACTATTGTAGTGACTGAGAAGAGTATTAGTCCAGTGCAATTATGACCTGGACAAAATTGATAACAGGCTGAAAATTGGTGGAAATGTTCAAAACAATGTCCTGAGTGGCCCACACAAAGTCCCAAGAAATCCCATTTGGGGAACGGCCGCCATTTTGAAAAAACTGCCGCCATCTTGGAAATTTATATTTTTTGCTGTATCTTTTGAAGTAATTGTCCGAAAGACCTCATTTATGTCTTAAATTAAACGTTTTGTGCTCATGTATGAGGGTAATATATAATTAAAGAGTTTATTATGTTCTAAGCATACATTTTATTTATATTACCTAAAAAAATATCTATAATAATGATATAGATACGGTTATGTCCCCCCTTTAATACGAATTGTGGATATTTATAGGCATGCAAGGTGGATGCGATGCTCCCTGGTGTGGATTAACGTCCGCACTAGTGAGTACCATGACTATCCGCAGTACTATCCTGATAATTAGACCAATTCGTTAATTACAAGGAAAAAATATGGTTCGGATTCCACTATAAACTGTAGGTCCCTCAGTTGCCATTAGCTGTATGGGCTATTAATTAACATCTGTGTCTAAGGAATATGTCGGCCTTAGTTACTAACGAGAATACATCACCGACAATATTATTTAACAGTGAGTAGTTACATTATAAGTTTATATGCAATATTAAAATTTAATGGTAATCAATTATAGCAACTATATCTAGATGATTCTATTTTTCAGATTGGAACGAACTAAATTATTAATTGCTTTTTCATAATTTATTTTGTACTTCATTGTTAAATTGTTGCTTTCCTAGTCAAGATTATATTTCCTGTTACCGATGTTGCTTTGCTCCTGCCATAGATTTAAGTTAGTTAATTTTTCTGTTAAAATGCATGTAGTTACCACTTAGGCTTCTTGAACCCACATTGTAAATTGGTGATCTTGCCGTTGAAGTTAATAAATAAATAACAAATTACAGCATTTAGGTGAATCAAAAGTCAATACCCGCCTTCTCTAATATTTTCTAAGTGAATATACAGAGATGTCCTTTTTGGTGGTCTTCCAATCTTAGCAGGGAGTTTCATTTTATGATTTAGAAATTTTTAAATGTTCCCCAAAAAGGGGGGATTTTGGGGGCAACTCAAAAATTTTAAACGTAAACCCCTTCAAGTGACATCTCATTTTAATGTGTTAAAAAAAAAAAACTTTATGAATGGTGAAAACCAGAGTTTGCTATTTCAAATTTATCAAAAATGGTAGCTCGTCAAACGTTGGATGGAAAATCAATGGTAATATTGGTTCGTAATTGTAATATTGGCTACCATTTTGGACAATGGAGAATACTCAAAGATTTTCAAATCATAAAATGAAACTTCCTACTAAGATTGCAACACCACCAAAAGGATATTTCTGTATATTTACTTAGACAAATATTAGAGGGGGGGGGGGTCTTGACTTTTTTTCACCCCTTATTTAACCAACTCCAAAGACTAAACATAGTAAATTGCAAGAAATGTCAAAAGTGAATGGCTCAGAAGTGTTAATGGCTTTAAGAAGTCCATTAAGAACAAAAGAGAAAAAGCTTCATTTTGTAAATATTTTGTAAATTTATATCATTTTTATAAATATATTTTTAGGTTAATATAAATAATATTTATGCTTAGAACGTATTAAACTCTTTAACTGTATACTACCCTCATACATGAGTTCAAAACGCTTAATTTGAGACATAAATAATGCCTTTCGGACTATTACTTCAAAAGATACAGCAAAAAATCTAAATTTCCAAGATGGCGGCAGTTTTTTCAAGATGGCGGCCGTTCCCCAACTGGGATTTCTTGGGACTTTGTGTGGGCCACTCAGGACATTGTTCTGAACGTTTCCACCAATTTTCAGCCTGTTATCAATTTTGTCCGGGTCAAGGTCATTTTTTGTCTAATTGCACTGGACTATATTGAAAATATAATGGGATTCATAATTAATTGAGTGTTTTCACTAAAAAAATTTGTGCTGCCAATAGTTTAATGTATATTTTAAACTCAATAAATTTCCTTTTCTGCAGTAATGTAGAATGTCAAGACCATCCAGCATATAAATTGGTTATTATTGTCAAATAATTTTGAATGGAAAATCAATTATGAATCCCATTATATTTTTAACACTCTCCTCCGTCACTAGAATTAGTCCAATTTCAGCTTTTGATAACACAAACACCAATCCAGAGACCACGTCTTTCCGTCATTACCTGATTCAGTTTACTTCTAGTCCTGCCCGCGGCAATATATAAACGCGTGAATTGATAGGCCTATCTGTTATCGTTCCCGGCGATTTTTGTACAGTAGAAGGCAGCCTGGGAGTGGCGAGCAACAAGTCTGTCTTATTTCGCGACTCTGCCCATAATTTTGAAACAATATACTTTTTGCCAAAGTATTATTAATGCACTTAAAGCTGTTTGAATTCTTAAGCCCTGTAAAAATTAACGCCACCTAATATATTGTACAGTTACAGTACTGTGTTGGAGTAGAGTAATTCACCGAGTAGGCCTATATTGTTGTACGTTTCGAAGACGTTGTCTATTGCAATACTGAGCACACATATTGGCTGACAGTACAGATTCTGAATTGTAAATTGAAAAACTTCTAATTCGTCCATTAGTTAGATTTATATTGATGTATTGTTAAATGACGTTTCATATTAAACTAATTTTGATTATCAGCAAGTTTGTTTTTCGTACCTCAAGTTTACTAAATACTTTAAATGCTTGTTTTATGAGGTAAAGGGGAAATTGTCAGATAAATTGGTGAGGGTAGGGTAGGTTTAAATAGACGGCAGCATAAATTGGGGGGGGGGGTTGCGCCTCTGGGTTTGGGGGGGATGGGCACCTCTGGGTTCTGGCACACAATGATGGGAGCGCCATGTAGTTACGTAGTGCGTAGGCCGTAACTGCATAGCGCTCCCAGCGGTGTGCGCCAGAACCTATGGTAACTGCAGCACAGCTGACGGTCTTTTTATATTTAATTCTTTTTGTCTATGCTAGTACTTAGGTTTTCTACTATGGGGAATGGAAAAATATGTTTTTTTGAGCAAATGTTAATATTAAGGTGAAATAGACTAAATAAAGTTGCTAAATTTGATCAACATAATATATCTACAAACAAGCAAACTATATACAAAAGCTCGCTCCGGCACATAGCCTATTTTTATAATATATGTAGCCCTACCTAATGTCAAGATTTTCCACAAATGGAGAAAGGCGATAATGATGTTCCGTTACTGTAGGGGGTATTCCGGATTTTTATGTGACCGCGGGAGACAATAATCTTTAGGCCTACATAACTTGATCTAAAGCAAAGTGACGTTTAACCGTTTCGATGCTAGAAAATTTTTTGGAATGTTCCGAAAAAAATTATAGGCTAAGTAAGAATTACAGGAGAACCTTGATAAAAAGGCTCTCAAGGGGATTATAAAATAAGACTTGTTATCAAGGTTGTCTTATTATCGAGGTTTGCAATAACATGTGATTAGGGGTAAAATAAATTCTAGGGGATTTAAAAATGAGACTTGTTATCAAGGGTGACTTGTTATCGAGGGTCTTGTTACTTGTTATCAAGGTTCCACTGTATTTACTTATTTCGTCCGGAAAGTGCTAAGCTTGCCACGAGGGCAAAGTCTATTGTGCGAGAAAAGAATACGCACATCATCATTTTGACAATAAGTAACTTAGGCCTAAGTTAACTTTTATCCTTACTCATCCAAAAACTTATTGCAGACGGCTCTATGTGAAACAGTAAGTACCCAGGGAGGGTAGGCCTATGTTTAGCCTAGTCCTTTTGATTGACTTAGTAGAGTCTATCAAGGCTAGCAGCCTACAGTCGAGGTGCTAATTTAATTAACACATGAGTTAGGTTAGCTAAGTAGGTAGCTTAAGTTATTATGGGACCCTAACATAACAAATGAACATGAACATTCCCAATAGCAAATTACTACGTGTTTTGACACTTTGTGACAGAATAAAATGTGCTGCAGTTAAAAAAAAATAAAGTAGGCCTAAAATTTATATCAGCCCTCAGGTTTATTGGGCTACCAATAATGAATCATTATTAAAACATTTCCTGGAAAAGTTTTTAACAAACACTAAATTGACTGCCAATTTTTCAAGTGATCAAGTGAAAACAGATTTTAAAAAAGTTAAGAAGGTATAAGATGTGATAAATGTACATCTGATGTACATAAATCATAAATCAAATAGCCTAGGGCAGGCCTTTTAGCTAGGTACCGGTAAGACTTTTGTGAGTTATGTCTAGACTAGGCCCAGGCTCTAAATCAAACGGTTGATGCTTAAATCATTATATTAATAACTTATAAACTTAAGTTAAGTTGGCTGCTTTAACTTATTTAAAATTACTGATTAACTTACTGCTAAATCTAGGTTATTCTACTCACCTGAAAATCGCAGTAGGTTTCAAAGTTATCACCGAGGAAAACTACTAATTAACCAAAAGCACTTATAAAATTACTTAGGGCTGTATACAAACTTTATAAACTTAAAAATTTAAACTTAACGCGAAATATGAACTCAAAACTTAAGGAAAAATAAACACTTAACCGAAAACAAGAAAGAACAAGCGCAGACGCCAGACAAACACAAATAAAATGGCGGTTGTTTTGTTGTTGTGTAGTAGACTGACTAGCGCCGCTAGCGCTGCGATGGATGAAAATTACAACTACGTTGCTTGTCGTGATACACCTTCCACGAATTGGCCCCAGGCTGTTCCCCGTAAGCCTTCTTCACAAGCTTGCCACAAGTCTGGCACAAGTTGATATAAAAAGGCCTTTCCAGACAAGCCTTTGACAAGGCTTGCCGTAAGCTTACGTGTTACCTGGGATAGCATGAATTGCCAATAATGTGCTTTAAATAATAAATAATTGTATTGTTCATTTAAATTTTAAAGTTATCATTTGATTTGTAAAACTTTTGTATCATGGTACCATAGACAAAAACAATTAAATATAGACCGTCAGCCGTGCTGCGGTTACCATAGGTTCTGGCACACACCACTAGGAGTGCCATGTAGTTATGGCGTACGCCAGAACCTATGGTAACCGCTGCGCGGCTGACAGTCTATATTTAATTCTTTTTGTCTATGATGGTACTTACCTCCTTATAAGCTATATTAATAGATGTCCCAGATATGTTTTCAGGTTGTCTGTATAAACTTGATGGTTTGAAACCAGTAAATTGCTTCATCTCTTTGAACACCCTGTAAAGGTCCTTCACCATTTTAAATTTAAGTGTTTAAAGTCAAATTTCTCTCTGTTGTTGAATATGGAACCTCTACTAATGGGCTACTGTACGAACTTGACAAAATTAAGTCTACTGAAAATGGGGATATATATTGCTGCTTACTTATAAAATGTAAATGCTTTATCGCTTCATCCACTTAGGTTCACAAACATATCCCTGATATTTGTTAAGTGTCGCCGTGAATGACACTTGAGCAATCTAGTTTTTCCATGCTTACTTTGTAATACAATCAATCAAACTAAATTATATTTCCTCCTGTTGTTAAAATAAAACAAAGATAAAAAAAATGTTTTATATGATTTTGTAAAAAATATTTCTTTTGGATCATTATCTATTATTGATTGTATTTTTTGGAGGAGTCAAGCCCAAACATCTTGTAAAGTAGTGACAAATAATAGAAACATTTCAGCAAAGTAGGCCAATGTAGAGGGATCGGAATTACTATTACAATTTTCAATATACGTAATGGGATATAGTTACTTTGCATTTAGTACATCCTATACTAACTTTTTATTGCTAAACTGCAATGCAAAACTGAGTATGGTTTTAAAATCTAGTTTTAAGCTCTTAAGGCAATTAGTACACAGTGAAACCTTGATTACAAGTCAGCCTTGATAACCTGGGTCTGTTTCAAATCCTCTTAAATTTACTTCACCCCTAAGTTACTGCAAACTTTGATAAGAGTCAACCTTGATAACTATAGTCTTAATCTCCATGAGAGTCTTATTATCAGCAAAGTCCTGATGAATTTCCAGACTTCCAGTAAGAGACAAAAAAATGGGTGAACGGTTTATTAAAGAAAATATACAGTATTTTATTTAGTCTTTTTTTCACAAAAACACAAATGAACAACATGACATCAAACTTGAAATTAGACAAAATTACAAAATATTTGTACACCTTACTTAGAGTATTACTACATTAAACATAAAAATATAAAACAACTCAAATGTTATCCGTTTTTAATAATATTCTCACAAATTGTTGCCATAGTAAATACACAGTTAGTGAAAGTACTGTAAATATAAAAGAGAAAATACAACATTTATTTTTGGGAATCACAGTGATTTTAAAAAAGAGCTTCATTTTGTAAATATGTATTTATATATTGTCCTTATATTTAGATTAGATTCAATTTTTTACAACTTCAACACAGGACTAGGGTGTGTATTTTAGGCAAAAATGGGTTAACAATGTTGAATGAATTGGATGTGAACCTCAATATTTAGACGGTTTTAATATTAATCCTAGGCATAAGTAATAGTTAAGTAAGTATACTCTTGCTGAAAAAACACCATAAGGGTTATATGGAAAATGTTTATTAATCACTAGGGGTTGGGTTGGGGCATTATCACTTAGATAAAACCCATTGGCGATTTGGCAGGACTTGAACCTGGGACCTCAGGGACCGAAGTCACACTATCTACCACTAGACCAGCTCGTTCCCCAGTTTATAGGACTTTTTTGTCCTAGGACGCTATATAGGTACGAGCCTGGGATTGTTTTTCACATTACTTCAGGCGTTCTACTCTGAGGATGAATTCTTAAACAATAAGCTACCATGAAAAAAAGAAGAAAAAAAAGAAAAAAAATTCTAATTGTAATTGCAAATTACTGTAATACTTTACGTACATACTGTACATTTTATGTACCTGACGCATGAATGTTCTCTAGGAATATTTCAATAAAGATTTTGTCTATTGTCTAGACCTACGGGGTTGCGGAATTATCACTTACATAAAACATAAAACCCATTGGTGATTTGGCAGGACTTGAACCTGGGACCCCAGGGACCGAAGTCACACTATCTACCACTAGACCATCTCGTTCCCCAGTTTATAGGACTAAGGTATGTTTAAATGATAGTCCCAATTGGAAGGAAAGAGACTAGTAATAAGGTTATATACATTCCATGGTTTAAAACCTGCAGGAGCATTTTACTTTTAAATCATACCATAGACAAAAAGAATTACATATAGACCGTCAGCCGTGCTGCGGTTACCATAGGTTCTGGCACACACCGCTGGGAGCGCCATGTAGTTACGGCTTACTCGCTACGTAACTGCACGGCGCTCCCAGCGGTGTGCGCCAGAACCTATGGTAACCGCAGCACGGCTTACAGTCTATATTTAATTCTTTTTGTCTATGATCATACATTCCCTATATAAATACAAACTCTTGACTTTTTGATTTCACTAGAAAGGTTAGTTCATAGTTTGTCTTACTAACTGAAATTCGATAAACAAAAATATTGATGAGGCTTTTTCTTGATAACCACATTCATTGAATAGAACCCAGTTTCGGATTTAGTTCTATACATTATTAACTTTTTTTCATTCAGATTCTCCTAAAAATCTTGATATGATGTCTGCCACACTAAGATAAGTCCCGATGAGCAGTCCCATGAGACCAATGATAACTACGAGAATATTCCTCGTGAGGTTGAAGAATTTAAGTTTGTTTTGGGAGTAAAGAACACAAATTTCGATTAAGGGCGGGAATAAAATTCCTAGAGTCGAGAGGCAGAGAGCTCCTATCAGAGAAATGAAGAGATCCAGCATTGGTATTACCAGGGCGGCACAGACTGAAACAAATAGATAGTTTCAAAAACAAATTGAATAAAGTATGTCTATATTATTTGTTATATTTGTTTGTTTGAAAGACTTATCAACTCTTTGCTTCATGCAATGCTGACTAGACTACAAACAAAAGGGGCCAAAACATTTTGCACAAATATAATTAATATTTTTAAAGCAAAAATTGAATTTTTACTTCCTAAAATTTATAATTGACCACAATTTATGGTGACGATGATGATGACTGTAAGAGATGTTCACAACTTGGCCAAGATCGCATGGAAGTCCTTCCTAGTTTGACCTAGGGCCATAAGTACCCTATGTTTGGCACTGTGACGGACATGTCTGACGGGAGATAATGGTGCTACAGTAGACTCCCTCTTATCCGGACACCTTTTAACCGGACATCGGTTTAACTGGAATACATTCGGCGGAAATGACATCTCTTTAACCGGACAATTTTCATCAGCACATCGGTTTAACCAGACTAGATTGGCAGGAAGTGGGCGGTACTGAAACGACCGTTCTCGTGGGAAAGATTTGAGACCACTGATCACGTGTCTAAATACAATGCTCTCCTAAATTTAAGTCAAATACGCATTAAAAACCTTCCGTTTTACAAGTTTTTGGGGACGTCCATTTAACCGGATAAACCGTTATCCGGACTGGCCTCGGTCCCGAGGAGTCCGGATAAGAGGGAGTCTACTGTATTATCATTATTGAAAACTGGAAACATAATGTTTATTCTTTTTGCCATGCGGGTTGTGTCAACTATCCTCTTGAACTTGTAATTTTGTAAAGGAAGAAAAGTACATTTTATTTATTTTTCTATCTACAGTAGTCCTAAACCCTTTGTATAGATTTGTATTCAACCTATAGATTTTGTGGGCCGTAACTTTTTCAAACGATAGTATTGTTGAGACTGTTGTTGTAAATTCAGAGTTAGCCATGCATGGAGATAAATTATATGTTTTATGTATTCTGTCTACTGCATGGTGTTCATGGAATTGAGTATAGCATGTCATTTTAACACTGGATATAAGTAGGTCAAAAGAAAGAATACCTCAGCCGCAAAACCTTATTTAAAATTTTTTTGTAACTAAAGACACCAAAAAAATGATGATGAGAATAAGCAGGAGGAGCATATTCATTGCATGACTTGTAGATGGTATTAGTCAGTTACTACAACAAACTGCATTTTACGGTTGTTTAGGAAAGAGTATAATCTTTGGATGAAACCATAAACACCTGGAATACTATATTGACTACTACTACACTATTATTTGTTTTTGTAAAATGCATTTGCTGAAACTAAACAGGACAATTGTTAACAACAACTGCTGTTAAGTTTGTACATTTATTGTTAAGTTCACTCTTGCAAAAATTAGAAATGAGCGTAGACTATCGAGAACCTTTATTTCACTATAAACAACAAAAAGATTCTGGTCCCTGCTAAGACAGATAACAATGTCAGTGCGCATCAAGGGTTACAGTACACCATCTTTTGACTCAACTGAAAATAAAATAAAGGCATAGAACATGGTTTAAGAAACAAAGTTGTCTTGTCACTTACATGTACATATCACCAGTACGGTCCTGAGTGTATATTCAAACCTTGCTGGGCTGCTGCTCTGTTCCATCATGTTCTTAAGGTATGTTGTACACAGAATCTCAATAGCCACATAGAACTGCAGCGAGTAGGTGAGGAAAATGGACAGTGAAAAGGTCAGCTTTACCACCTGAGCAAGTCTGTAATGAGATCGGAAAGTTTAAGGAAAGAAAAAGTTTAGTTAAGTAAAATATTCAGGGAAATGCTACAATTTTTTCTACAAGATTAGAAAAATGATTTGCATAACAGAAATCCAAGAAAATTACCACCCGTACTGTGAGGTCTGCAAGATAAATTCCCTGAAAATGTCCACTGTCCAAGAATAATGTTCAAGAGTTAAATCTCCGAACACTTTAACATTTTGGTTCTGTCCTTTAATGGTTGATCTTAAGTTGGGAAGTCCGACCAGTCTGTATGATAGGGGGAGCGAGCTGGTCTAGTGGTTAGACCGCCGGACTCCGGTTCCAGGGGTCCCGGGTTCAAATCCTGCCAAATCACCAATGGATTTTATCTAAGTGATAATGCTGCAACCCCTAGGTCTAGCCTGAAGTAATGTCAAAAACAATTCCGGGCTCGTGCCTAGCGTCCTAGGAAACTTGTCTCCTGACCAAGGGCTCTAAACCATTGATCAGTCCACAGGTAGATGGGCAATAACGAGACAGGTTCCATTTTACAGACTCTAATTTACTGGTGTGATATCATAACAAAGGTGAAAACCCATCATTTCAATGATCTTGTGATTGTATTTTCATCACAGGTTCAAGATTTTATAATTTTGTTACAACTACTTTATAAAATAAAGTCATAGTGACTATACATACTGGACAGAAAATATCAATTGATCATCCTGTGTAAGTTTTAAGTTCTAAGAACTAGGTTACACAACTTACAGTTCATCTTGAGGAATATTCAGTGAAATGCTACCCTCGACATTTTCTCCGTACTTTACGTAACCAAAGAATCCCAAGCAAGTGTAGATGATGATTACAATGGTCATTGAAATGTTCAAAACCCCGACAGGTTTACCAAATGATGTAGGAGTCTTCATGTTCCTTTCCACTGAAACCACCTGAAAATGGAACAATGAAATAAAATGTTGAAATTGTATCTTAACCCATTGACGACAAATCAGGAGTGTAGCACTGCAATCACAGCAGTTCACTGTGCAATAGTAGTACTGCTAAACCCAATGACCTTCAAGCAGTACGTCAAATCTAACCTAAACCTAAGTGCCGTGATGTGTTTATAGTGGAAATCGACTTGTGCGATCAACAGTAGCATATGTTAACTCAGTTGGCTAAGGCACTGACGAGTGTAGTGTTGAGGTGATTCTACATGCACGGTATGCAATCCATATTGCGCTCTCTAAATGTGTGACTAAGCCGAAATAGAAGGCCCACCCTAAATAATTAGAGTCCGGATTGGGTAGAAGTGTATGACATTAGTGAGCTTAAGGATTGAACACAACCCCTGTTTTACCTGGGATTGGATTGTGTACACTAGTTTGTTAAGTTTAGGTAAATATTTACAAGAAAATTAAAATTTGAAAAGAAAATTTCAAAGTTTTAGTTTTCCACTTTTAGCACAAGAAAATTTGTCTAAAATCTTCTTAGAAAATTTAAATTTAACCTGCATATGAAATATTGTACTCACAACACCGGTTGCCGACAGGGCAAAGAGAGTGGTTGTGAAGAAGCGCACAAACCCTGCGGGAGTTCCTACGTAAGGAACACTATCTACAGGAGGCAGGTCTCTCAGGATGAAGATCATGATGGTCGCCAGACTCAGATACATGAGCAGGTTGGCAGCCTGAGAGAACGGAGCCAACAGCTTGAGGTTGCGAATGTAACAGGTGATGATCAGTGGTACCAATATCACACACATCAGCACTCGCAGGTCTACCACCACAAACTGATTGATCACCTATAAAAATTGGATTGTCTAGAATTTCTTTGACACTTTTCTTATGTTTAACCTGGAAAACACCAGTGGTGTAGTGTAGTGGGAACGCAAGGGAGCGGTGGTCCAACTCCTGACTATCCCACTGGGAAACACATAATTTTTCATTTATCAACACATTTGAAAGTTTTTTAAAGCAAATTGATACTGTTTCAAGGGCAGTTAATGTGCAAAATAAAGGAAGTTTTCAATATGAGAGTGATCTAGGCAGTTTATTCCAGTAATATTTTTACATAGATCCTCCTGAAAGCCTTTTGGTTATGGAAAAATTTAAAAATCTTGCAGTCATATTTTTTTTTTAATTGTAAATTATACCCACAAGTACAATAAACAGTACCTGATGCAAGTTCTGAGCTACAAACACTATGTAGACACTACACATGCCAAGCTGGTAGAGGATGAGGAAAAAGTCCACCATTGGTCTGTAACATAGTGGAATATTATTAATTGGATAGTATATTTAATTTTTATCAATAATTATCTTTTTCTTTAAAAACTTGGCTCGGTTCTAGACTTTTTTTTAAATAAATTACTTGTGATTTGGATTGTATTTTAATAGAATCGGTCATTTTAAAAAATTACAATTCCCTTTCCAAAGTTTCCAGAAACCGGATAAAACTGCATAATCGGTTGCATTTATTTTACTCATAAGAAAAATTACAAACCATAAGACTCTTGCAGCGTTAAGTTTTAAATTTTTGTGTGATCAGACAATACAATACAAACTACCTCACAAAACTCACATGGGTCCGGGGTCCAACCCTTCTGATCGATTAGATTTATAATTATTATACTTTATTTTTCTAAAAGATTGTATGTGTATCTATTCAGAAGGTCTACATTTAACAATACACAAATATCTTTAAACTTAAATGCTTAACTAATTTTAAAGTAGATAGTTTATAAAATGAAATCAAATACTTTAATACTTTTCAATGAAATGGCGACCATACATACAAAGTAGGTATTTTAAGCCAAGTATGAATGGAGATGAGTGTAAGATGAGTGGCGCGATCTTGTAGTCATGTTAGTGACTAAGGCCGATATATTCCTTAGACACAGCTGTTAATTAATAGCCCATACAGCTAATGGCAACTATGGGACCCACAGTTTATAGTGGAATCCAAACCACATTTCTGCCTTGGCATATACAAATTGGTCTAATTATCAGGATAGTACTGCGGATAGTTGTAGTACTCACTCGTGCGGATGTTAATCCACACCAGGGAGCATCGCATCATAAATATTAAAGTTTCATCTTTGAAATAATTATTACATTTGTAAATGGGCCAGGTGGGCCCTGATGGCCTGGGGGCACAAAAGATTTAGGTTTATTTGTGGGGGCAAGGAAACTAAAAATACCCCACAAGGAAGGTGGAGGGGGCACAACTATTTCTCAGGCCCATATTGCATCACATACGAACTTGCAAACAATATAGGGTTAAGAAAGACATGTTTGAACGTAATCTTTTATATATGTGCTAGATAAATTTTAGTTGTTCTGAAGCAATTAATTGATATGTACAAAATGTATTACATACCCAGATATAGTGGCAAAAGGCCTAAGTATCGGAGGTCCATGGTCCAGAGCTGCTTTCATGGACTCTGGGTAGCTCAGTATGGGAACTCTGAGCCACTTGCACATCTCATATTGTGATCGTATCTAAGGAAAAACATTACCATCATGTAGATTTATTGTTGTAACATTTAGAAGATTTTTTTTATATTTTCATTATTAATAGATCATTGTGTCAATTAGGAAGGATGTCATGTGGAAGACAAGAGGGAGAGGTTGCCAAAAACAGAACCACACCAATATAGACGCTAGTATTAAATAATCTAATCGATTGTCAATATGATTGTACAAAACAAAAGCAAAAGGTAGGGGAAGATTTTTGTGTGCATGCCCTTCCCACTTGCCACTATAATTTAAACGATACTACTTAATCCAAATAGCCTCACAGGTTTTTTTGTAAATGATTGATTTTACGCTGTTGCAAGTTTTTGGAAGTCCCTACGGACTTTACCAAGGACACCACATCCTCCCGATCAAGCTCCGTAGGGAATACAGGGAGGGTTTTATTTATTATTGTTATTCCTCTAGGTTCTAGCCCAGTACATTACTTCCCACATTACTTCAGGCTTTGTCTAGCAGAGGTTGCGGAATTATCACTTAGATAAAATCTATTGGTGATTGGTGGGATTTGAACCCAGGATTTCAAGAACGAAGTCCCTTGCTCTACCATTAGACCAGCTTGCTCCCCTACAAGGAGGATTAGAACCACTGGGAAATCATTTACAGCTAAAAATAAACAAAGTGTGCCAGTGTGTCATGATTTACCAGCATATGGAGGCAGTATGTGACCAGTGCTCCGAGTACCACTGTGAGCACAGTCCCCACCATCAGACCAGAGTTGCTGAAAGCTTCAGGCATGGCAAGAATCCCTGTACCCATGCAGCCTTTCAGGAGAAGAATAATACTCTCATTGTCTCTGAAAAAATGTTTAGAGTTTACACTTTGCATAGTGTTAATTTGATTGCAGCAAAATGACTTGGTGTGGTAGAACTCCTTTTAGTGAATTTTCCATATAGGGAATAAGCTGTTACCGTAGGTCTCATAGTAAGACCTAGACCCAGGACTGATTTACTTTTTCGTTTTAAGATATTGCAATAAAAAAACACACCTTAATATCTTTTCTGTTTCAACAAACTTACAGACTAAAATAAAATGTCATTTAAATAGGAAATAAATATTTCAATTTTAAGCGAATATTGTAGTAGAAACCCAGCCAAGTAAATGGAAATTCCCTTAGTCTGCAGGTTTGCTGCGGCGGGGGTACTTTATGATTGAGAAGGATTCATTTTTCACATAATGTTCTTGTTATTATAAGAAGACTTGAAAAATTAATAAAACTATTAAAACTAACTTCTATAGTGGAGCGGGAACGTTTAAGATCGACATTCCAATCTGCTTTTTCCAATAGTCCTATATTAATACTTTATATTTTAGTCAGTAGCAATTAAATTATACCTAGTAGGTAGTTTTAAATACAGAGCAACTCCTTTACATCCTAAACATAATCATAAAAAAATATTTTCAAAAGTTAATACGGTACCAAATGTTTTTATAGTCTTTGGCCTCTGTTATTGAATTCACAAGACTCTAAAATCTAATACATGTAAAATTATTATATAAATCAATACAATTTAGGATTCAATCTTAGAACCCATTCCTAAATAAAAACTATAAACAAGATATTTTCATAACAGTCTTTTCTGCCACTGTATTTTTAAAATTTTAAAACTATAAGTAATAAGGTGTATAAGAATATAATTTACTGTTATACATATCAAACAAAGTAGTATTAAATTTATGAAGGATGGGATTTTGTGAGTTTTTGGTGCCTGCGACAAGTATAAAATTTTGTTCCGATGAAAATATAGTCTGTTGGCATTTTCCGCTCATTTTACCTTGAACCTAGATCTATATTTTTTATGGTGAGTTATTAATTGTTTTGTTTTAGATAACCAAATTGTAGGCAAAATTACTTACGTTGTTGGGTTTTTAAGCACTCGGTGATCATGGGGGTTGTATGGTGTCTGTGGGTTTTTCGTATCGCCTGCCACATCCATTGAAAATTCTTCTTTCCCTTCCTTTTTATGGTTTTCATCTTGCCTAGAAATTTCATTTTCATTTGATGTGCTATTAACAACTTTGTACTCATAACGACATTTATCAATTTTACATAATGTGTTATTCATTTCAAAATAAAAAAGAATTTACTTTTTGAATTAAACACTTACGTGTTGATAATATTGTAAAACTTATCAAATACTATACTGGATGGGTATAAAAATGCAATCTTCACTCATACTTATCTTAATCTAAATCACTTTAATCCCTCACTTCACATCTGCAAGTTTTTTGTTGTCTAAAGTTCCAATTCCTATGCGCCGACTGATACGACTGTAGCCGAGCCATACGGGAGACGCTCAATTTAATTCTTATGCTGTGACTCCTGCGACTAGTGACTAGGATAAGCTAGGAACAAGCACAGTTGGCAGCGAATATATTACTTAGGGAAGAGGAAGAAAAGGAAATATTAATGTGCATTGTAAAAAAAATTAACAACCTTATCCATTGTTCATGGAACGGCAAAAATACAGGTTTCAGAGTATTCTCATTCAGAGTTCTCATTCTCCTTTTAAGTATTGGGGGTGCTTGGGGTTGAAAACGGATGGGTGGTGACGAACTAGTTCAATCAACTTTGAATCATCCATGAAGGTACACACTACAAACTCCGTATGTATAAACTATAATTTTTTTATGGCCCCGCGGCTGTAGTGGCTCCAATCGAGCGGCTGTAGCTGTAGACGCACCATAGGAATGGGTTGCATTTACAGTGGAACCTCGATAACAAGACTCTCATGAGGATTATTAAGACTTGTTATCAAGGTTGACTTCTTATTGAGGTTTACAGTGTAACACGTGATTAGGAGTAAAATAATTTCAAGGGGACCGATTTGAAAATTGCACTTGTTATCAAGGGTGGCTTGTTATCGAGGGTCTTCTTATCAAGGTTCCACTTACTTTGCAAAGAAGCAGTCAATTTTACAGCCACGCGACTGTAGTCGTATCAGTCACAGCATAGGAATTGGATCTTTGTGGATAAGTGATGATTTATATTTACTATATAACAAAAGACTAGCTCTAGCTGTTATGTACATTTTTTTTCAAGGATAGCAGTTGACTTGGAATGTTAAGTTAGTTCTTGCCCATGTAAAGAACTACCCGAGTTGTTTATATCATTGTTCTTGCCGCTGGCATGACCGGAAGTAGACTGAAGTGAAGTGTGGCCGCCAACGATATAAACAACTCATGGATCGCTGGCTCAGTGTTGGCCGCGCGGTCGAGCTTCCCCCACCTTCTACTGCCAGAAGCCGGCGCAACCCATACATTCACCATTATAAAACACACTTTTTAATTGCTGCTCTGTTGAAATTTATAGGGATAAAATATTGCTAACGCTTGTCAAACTCTTTTGAATAGTTAAACATGTTGTATGTTTTGTTTCTTGCAGAAAATAGCCCATCTGAATTCTTTAAAACTACAAATTCACTAAACCCGTTTTGTAGATGTTTTTAGACAACTGATATTGCTAGATCCAAATTGTACATGGTAAAATTATAAGTGATTACAAAGGAGAAATAGAAAGTACAATATTTAGGCTATAATTGAAATTATATTTTATTAATCGAAAAAAATAGTACATAAACATTTAGAATAATTTTGCTAAGTTTTTGCCGCAGTGGTAACGTTATGTTTGACGTAAACGCGATATTTTTTTCTTTCAATGTTTAATGACAATGTATTTTGCAAAATAGGTCATAAAAAAGAAAAAAGTATGCCTATCACGTTAATGTCAAGCATAGATTTGCGGTAAAAACTGGGCAAATGTCGTGGGTTTTAAGAGTTCAAATGTGTTATTTTCTGCAAGAAAAGAAGAAGACATATAAAGTTTAGAATAGTAAAAAGTGTTTGGCATGCATTAGTAATATTTTATATCTATATATTTATTTAAACAGAGCAGCAACTTAAAAAGGTGCGTTTTACAATGGTGAGTGTATGGGCTGCGTCGACTACTGCCAGTAGATGGTAGGGGGAGCTAGACCGAAAACAGCGCCCGCAGTGCTACTGAAGCCTTGGTTTCTCTGAACCACACTGCGTTATTGCGTGATCCGTGATTTGTGATACGTGGTATTCACGCGTGCGTGATAAAAAATTAGGGTGTTTTCTATGACTCCATCCTTGCAGCGCGCGATTATATCTTCAGCCATGGACAACATAGATGTCAGACTCGTTGCCTTAGCTTTGCTGCTGGAGGAAGAGGATAATGAAGAAAATTTACTAGTGAATTTAGTAAATGAAGACTCTTTGGCATGGAGGAAGAAGGGTGTTTTTGAATTCTGATTACCAGGCATTTAATTGAACAATGAAACAATGTTTAGGGAATTTTTTAGGCTTTCAAAACAGTTTTTTTTTAGTATCAGTATGAGTATGAGTACTACGGTAATAGCTTATTCCCTATATGGGAAATTCGCTAAAAACCTATTTCACCATTTTCAAAGTTGTGCTTGACACTAGGCCTATTAATTGTAAACCATTCTTCTTGATTCCATTGTTCTTGTAGTTCTTTTGGGTGAAACAATATAGTACTGAAAGCTTTTCATAAAACTGGGCAGTAAAAACCTTGGATTTCATAGTTGCAGTTTCATTAACAACACAATTATCAGTCACCAACAATGGGCAGATGGGAATTAACTACTGCATGCCACGCAAAAAGTCTGGGATCCCAGACTTCAGTGCGTCGCGCAAAGGGATCACGCATTTCTAAATTGGCGGGAATCACAGAGAATTGCGCACGTGAAGTCAGAGAAAACACCCCCGCAGCAATAGCTGCGACAGACTTTTGCGTGATTACGTCATCGCGCATCCCGCAGTGACGCTGCGTGATTCAAAGAAACCAAGCCTTGAGAGCGCAATCCAGTAGTTTTTACATCGTTGGTGGCCGCCAAGTAGTCCCAGGATTGTCGTCTGTGCGTTATGATCAGCCGATATTGGTCAATCACAGTGGCGGAAGAGAATGTTTGAGATATACACATGGTATAATAATGTAGGTGAAGACGGATTCATTTATGCATTAGTTTTGACCATCGATAGCTGATGTTTCTCAATATCAAAGTTTTTCTTCCGGTGTTTTTTAAATCGAAGATATGTTCTTGTCAAACATAGATTTTTCTGGTCGACCATCTTAATATTGATGTTTTTCTGTAACTGAAATAAATACTATACTAAAGGTTTAAGGAAAATTTTAAATTTTATTTTTTGCTTTGTAATAGTGTTTGGCCTCGATAATCGATATCTAAAATATTGATATTTGATATTTTTAATATCGATATTTGTCCACCGATATTTTCTATCGATATTAGGTATGCCTATTGATATTTTTTTTCTTTTTTAGCAACAAAAGTACTAAAATGATAGACTAAACATTTTTCAATTGTTTCAATTTATTTTAAATATTTTGGTTGAATGAATAATGGTGATAACAAATTCAGTTTAGAAAAAAAGTTTTAAGTTAATTCAACCAGTCTGTAAAAGTTTAAGTTTTTGGTTTTGTTTGAAAATAATATGAAGCCGACACTAGACTAGACTAGAGGCAGAGGCAAAGTAGAGTGGACTAGGGCTAGACTAGTTGTTGGTTGTTGGTTTATGGTTTATGGTACATTTTATTGTATATTTTAGTATTATTATAGTACAGTAAACACAATTTTTCATTAATGTTTAATTTCTTTGTAATAAGCATAATATGTGGCAATTTTTTTGCTTGTCTTGCACCTTATTTGCTAAGCAACATATAACAGTACCTCTATAACATATAATGTACAAAACATGAGCCTCAACCCATTTTTGTTTGCAGTTTTATTGTATTATGACATTTATTAGCTGTTTTACAGGAGGAAATGTAATGGTATCATTGGTATCAATAGTGTTGGTAAAATTAGTAATATCTTTTATTTAGGACCTCGATTCCAATCACTACTGTACTTTGTATTTATATTGAACACAATAATTTAAGTGAATTAAAGTGATCAGTGAGGTGGTTTGGTTTTGAAGAACCCCTTGGGGGTTCCAAAAATTGAAGAGATTGTGATTCTTCACAATCTTTTGCAATGATTATGATGTCTTTTGTCTCGTAAAGAAAGTAAATGGGGGAAAAATGTAAAAGGTATTATATTACTTGCACAACTAAAATACAGGTGAGAACTAAAATAGAAAATTAAAAAATATCTCAATCTTATGGACGCTAATATAATTAATGTGTTATGAATGTGACAGATAATATATAAAGTATCTTAAATAGTAGTAAGCTTTAATATTTCAAACAATAGCTTGATTTTGGTCAATAATTATAATAAGACTGAAGTAATAATTATGTAAAACGATCTCAACGCTATCTGTTGGCTTTGACAAAAACACGATCTGCACTACCGATAAAACGATCGCAACGCTATCTGTTGGCTTTGACAAAAACACGATCTGCACTACCGACAAAACAATCGCAACGCTGTCTTTTGGCTTTGACAAAATCAAGATCTGCATTATTAAAGCCGCTACAGGCTATAATTAGTGTCTGAACGACATTTAAACAATAATTTAACTCACAAATTCATATAAATCTTTAGCTACTGTTCTTTATCTGTATATATATATATTTTTTAAACATGTACATTGTTTTGGATTCCATAGAATAGAAAGGGGCACATAATACCAATAGGTTTAACTTGACGAGTCCAAACAAATTTAATTCAATTTGAAACTGTATAACTAGAGTATTTTCTTTCACGCTATAACGTAGACTAGTGGTCGTCCTGTGGTCGAAACTCGACCAAAAATAATTAATGTACAGACTTCTCTATTTTCTCTCCACACTGTAAATAAAACATGTGATTGGGATTTCTTCCATTTGTTTTGATTTTCTGTTTACACTTTGTTGTTATTTCGTCACCAACATGGCAACCCAGTTGGTCCATGTTAATTTTTTGAAGTTTTCAAATTCGTTTTTTGTGCTTATTTTTTAGCCTATTTTAATTTATAGCCCAGTCAATAAATGC